AGAGGGCTCCTAGCACAGGAAAAAAAAAAAAAAAAAAAAGAAAATCAAGTGAGCAATAAAGTGCTTTTCATGCTTCTCTGATCAGATAATGGTTAAAAAAAGAAGAACGGTAAAACACTTAACTCACATTTCTCCGATGTGATCTAGGAGTTTCATCTAGGGAGAAAGCTAATCAGTAACCCCCTTTCCTCATTTTCTACTAATGTCTATAGATGTCTATCTCCTGTATTTACTTTCCCCCATGTCCTGGTATCAGACCTGTGCACACAGCAAATAAAAGGAATATGCGTATTAGTGAAAAATGAGCCAAATGATAACCTTCCCATGTATCACAGGAACACTAATTAATGTTCATGTGTCATTTTAAACAGGCTTTGCGGGTTGCATCTTCCACTCTACACTGATGTGAATAATTCATGTTATTACTGTAGATGTGTGCAATATCATTACTCGCGTGAAGGGGAATTTCTAGGTTGGCTTTTATTTAAGGGCCCTGATACTGAGAACTGCTGAGCATTGTCAGTCTCCATCGACTTAATTAATTCTGCTCAGCAGTTCACAGGATCAGGCTCTGACTGACAAATGTAAATCAGGACTTGCAGCAGACCGGCACACTGTCAGGAGCCACTGTTATTCCTCATGTGTCTCCTACATCTGTATATTTGCTTTGTGCTTGTGTCTAGCACCCTATCCTTCTTTAATCATATCTTCTAAAAAAACCCACTATTAAATACATTTCACAGGAAGCAGAAATTAATATTTGCAAAGCAGTAACAGATGAAGATGTTAATATATGCTATTAATTATATAAAGACGCCAATGCATTTGTAATAAAGCATTATTTATCCAGGAATAGGAAAGGTTGCTATAAAACCCACAATAGCCAGCTTTTTGGGAAAGGTAATAGATTTCCATGTGTGCAACTCTTGCAGGTTAATTGAATTTCCCTAATGAAATTCCCCTCAGCCACATGAAATCCTTGGGTTTGTTCTTTGAATTTCATTATGACTTGCAGAGTCTTCTCTGCCCCCAAATCAAATGCAGTAAAAACACTGGAGTCTGGCTTTACTTTAGTGTTTTATAAACACAGTTAATCAGGACTTACTTACAGACACCTTGTCTGTCTGAAGTTTTGAAGGGGAATTAGCAGAATTCACCTGACAATCCTAAGTGTGCTTTGATTCCCAGGTATGTTTTAACTGTTACTGCAGTGCTCAATAAACAATTGCTTCAAAATACAGACCCAGCTTTCAGAGAGGTGTGCTCATGGTGTTTTGTTAGTAATAATGCCTGGCTAGAAGTAGATTTATTTTAAGTAATCTCTTGGAATTCAAAACAGCTCTAGTTAATGACAAAAAAGGCCTTTTTAAGCTGGCAGGTTTATTTATGGCACACTGCTCGACTCTGCCCGTCACTCTCATTTCCTGAGTGGAAAAGTGAATGGCAGCTTCAAGTTCAGGATCTTTTGATCATTAAAAGAAATGGATGTGCTGTCCTCTGTTGGTCATACTGGTTGTCACATGTAAAATTCAGTTAACTCAAAAAGGCAGCAAGAGGCAAATGACAAAAACGATGAAACTAAATTAAACTTCCTTCAACTCCCGCTTTCACCGATAAAACTGCAGTGTGAGGGATTTCTAAATCATTTCTACAAAACGACGCAATGATGGAGACTAGGAGCTGGATGAAGGAGAGGACTCGTTCCACCATGCTACAGGTTCCGCCCCGGGTGCAGCCCCAGCGGACCCCGGCTGCTGTTTGAGCCCCTGGCCGCGGGCCAGCCGCCCTGCCGTGCCCGGGCGCTGGGTGCTATCGGGCGCCGGGTGCCACCGGGCGCTGCGACCCCCCAGCCCAGGGCTGGCCCCCGCTCCAGCTGGGGTTGCCGGCGGCTGCCAAGCACGTGGGGAGAGAGGAACTTTCTATTTCACATCACGCGGTCCGGTCTGGGGACAGGGCCCCGTGTGCCAGTTCGGACAGTTTGTGCTCACGTGTGATGACTCGTGTGGTGCGATGGCAGCTATGCAGCTTCGCGGGGCACACTGACCGTGGCAGCTCAGGCTTTGGGGGCTCCGCGTAATGCAATTTCCCACTTCACCGCGCGTGGTGCCCTTCCCTGAGTAGCGATGTGTGGAAACGCTCTGCTCGGTCTGGGTAAGCGGCAGTAGTGTGCCTGCTTCGGGTCCTCATTTCAAGAAAAATATGTAGCAACTGGAGAGGATCTGGGGGATTGTAGCAAGGATGATTAGAGGTGTAGGAAACCTGACATAAAAGGAGAGATTTAAAAATTTGGGGACTGTGTTGTCTAGAAAGGAGAAAGCTGAAGGCAAATATAGTAACACTGTCAAAAAGATTTGACGTGATGAATCTATGTCATGGCAGAAAACCTGTTGTGGTTAATTATTTCTACATCGTAACTGCTACTGCAGTTATCAATTTCTGGTCTGCGCTAGCTTCTCTTTTGCTGTGATTTCATAGATAGTTTTCTACTTACAAAATTAATTTCAAGTAAATAACCATAAGACATGTCTTCAAATCTTATTTAGCAGAATTATTATCATGCTATGTTATTTACCAGAAGGTAGGTTCAGTATGCAAACTGAAAAACCAGGCTCTGTATTAGCTAATTTCTTTGAGGGTCATGTAACACACTCACAGGCCTTGGACGTTGTTGTGTGGGTGAGACACAGCTGCAGCCCTCGTGCACACCTGACTTAGTCTTACAAACATATTTCTAAAAAACAAGCAAGAATTTATGAAAACATTACTCATCAGAGGCAGGGTGGCTGCTCTCCAGGTTTATCCTTGAGGTCGTAGTAACAGGAAGCAGTATCAGATATGTGTTTTGTCCTTGAGTTTGATTTTTATATTTAGTTTTGAAAACACTCTTATGAAAGCAGCTTCAGGGACATGGCTGTTCCTCACTGGCCTTCATATCCATGAGAAAAAATATGTAAGAAAACAGAAACCAATTTAGAAAATGTTGGGTTGTAGTTTTGCACATGCTGTGTGCTGAAACTGTCACTGCTCAAAATCAATAACTTACACTTACTCTTCTCTCTAGGGAGACTGGGCAGTGTTGTCATGGATTTCATACTAGAAAGTTCAAGTTCAGAAATGAGCTGGAAGGTGTGCACTATGATTTCCTCTCTGCTGACACTTCATCAAAGCTAAGCCAAATTTGCCAAAGAGCAGTTCTGGAGACTTGTGAATGTTGGCAGTAAACTAAGTGCCAAAAATATAAATTTTAACTACCTGTAATTAATAGAGTCAGATAATCTTTGTAACCTTAAATCTGTGGGGGAAAAAAAAAAAAAAAAGCTTTATATAGAATAAATGGTTATAGTCCTTGTTTAAATCAAAATACAAATGATTATTTTGACCTGCCAATAGAATTTACATATTTTATTTTAAAATATTTTACAAAGTCTAGTGTAAATAGTTAAAGATGGTTATTTGTGTTCATACAACAATTGTACAATTCTGATTCTAGACAAAAGTGGTACAGAATATGAAAAGGAGATTTGTCAGGAAGAAAACAAAGCTGTGTGGACTCACGAAAGGTCAGCGAAACTTCAAATGGTAAGCAAACACCAAACCAAACATGTATCAGTAAAGATTCCCTTCCATTTGTAGTGCTGTTATTATTTACATCATTAGGATGGTTTTAAGTGCAGTCAGACCTTGGCTGTGTGTGCGGGTTTGGTGTCTGGTCCCACTGGTGTCCCCGGGCTGGACGTCCCGGCTGCTGGGGATCCTGCCGGCCCACCCGGGGTTGCATGTGCCTGGGGACCGTGTCTCCCCTCAACCCAACCGACCCCCCCTTCCCTCACCCGTTTTTCAACATCAGGAGTTTTTCTATTAAAAGAAGTGAACACTAACCAGATTGCAAATAATCCTTCTAAGTGGTTAGTGACACAGATGAAGAAACCTCATGTTTTACTAACCACAAGATAGAACTAAATAATTAAATGAATTGGGGGGGGGGGGGGGGGGGGGGCATATACACACCGAGACGAACCAGGAATTACAGGATAATCTCGGTGGCTGGAGCCTGTGGTGAACATCTCAAACGAGTTGGCAGAGGCTCCCCCTGTGCCACGGACCCCTGGGGGGTGCCAGCACGTCCTTCGCGGCCGCGTGGAGGCAACGCGCGTGCCGGGGCCTCGGCAGCCACCCTTTCCTTGCACATCTATCGGAAACTAGCTTCTACTTGTACTTCTTCAGGTTGAGCTCGAAGGTCTCCTGCGTACAGGACTAGGCCCCGAGGAAGGCGGGTTGAAGAAACCATTTCTGTTGTTGCGAACGTAAGGAGCGAGGTGCCGGCAGCCGGAGCCGCGCGGCAGAGGAGCGCGGGGTTTGCTCGCAGGCGTAGGGGGGTCGCCACCGCTGGCTTGCGCTGTTCCTGCTCCCTGTGCCCACGTCCTGCGCTGCCGCTCGCCCTCCCGGTGGGCAGCCGGGGGTCCCGCCCGGGGCCAGGCCGCGGGGGCGCTGCGCTCGGCCCGGCCGCCCGCCTCTAAAAAGGATCGGGAAAGCTCCCGCCGGTGCGGACCCGGCAAGGCACGGACGGGGTTCGAACCCGTGATCTTCGGTTTACGAGACCGACGCCTTACCACTTGGCCACCGCGCCTGCGTTACCGCGCCCTCCCGACTCCCTTCTAGCGCTGGCGCCGCTCCCGCGCGGCGCCGCTGCTACCGGCCGCGCGCGCCGGCACGTGGCGACCGTTGGGCGCTGGGGCGGGCGCGAGCCGGTGGGGCGCGCGCGCGGTCGCTTGTCCCCTCAGGAGCTGAGGGGGCGGCGGTGGGTGCCTGCTGAGGGAGCGAGGGGTGTGTGCGTGTGGGACGGGGCCGAAGGGAGCCCCTCGCTCCGCGGGAGCGGCGAGGACTTGCTCCGTCCGTCTTTGGAGGCGTCCGCAAGGGCAGTGCTCTTATCCCGTGTCGGTCCCAGTGAGGCGTCGGGGCCCCTGTGCGCTCCCGCCTGTGTCGACGGAGTTTGTGTTCCCCTGGGGAAGGTGGGGTTTTGGGGTGCCGCGGGTGACGGGGGTAGGCGGCTGTGCTGCAGTGGCGGTGTTCGTTACCAAAAGGTGGCAGTCTTACATTTAGATCAGTAAGTGTGTTGGAAGGAATGTAGTCTTCCTCAGGCCAGAAAGAACAATTCAGAGAGGCGGGGGGAAAAGCGGGAATAAAACTTTCCTCCTTGGAGAAAAGAAGCAGAAGTGCAAAACGTTGGGATAATTAAATGGTAAGTGTTAAATTAAAATCACTCAGTGCCTGGTACCTACTCCCTGTAAAATCTTAGTGTTGTGGAATGCAAAAAAAGATAGTAAATACATGTTTTTTCTAGATTTGGTTCCGTAGATATTTACAAGTGTGACCAGAAAACAAAGCTTTTAGTTTTCATTTAGTGTTGATTGTGGAGATTCCTTTAAATTCCCTATGAAACTTTTGCTGGGCCCTGAAGTTATATTCCATCTTCCTGGATGAAAGCAATTTTGTTTATTGACCTGTTGGGTGTACTGATCCCAGCTATGATCAGTGGGGGGGTTTGTTTTGGTTTGTTTTGTTTGGTGCTTTTTTTGTTTGTTTGTTTTTGTTGAAGAAGCATGTAAACATGTTAACAGAGGTACCTTTGTAAAGGTTGAGATCAGAGTTACTAACTCTGTGATGCTGTAATGCAGGTGTGTTAAGGGCTACACAGCTATACAGCTATCCTTTTGGGATGTTATTTGAACTGTCATCAGGAAGACTCATGCCTGATGGCTTGGTTGTGTGAACAAACTTCAGTTCCTTAAAAGTTGCTGTTTGTCAGCTTCTCTGGGATAACTCTATGCATGCCTGTGTTTCAGCAAACAGGAATTTGAATTGGCTTCACCTACAGTGACAGGTGTCTAATTTAAATTACCTTAATGGATATTCAACCCATGTTAAGTGTGTCTGCTACTACCCCGGGATAGCTGTTGCAAAGGTGACTTGTTCTGTTTTGCCAGTCCTTATGGGCATAACTGGTGGCCTGGCCCACTCAAACACTTGCTGGAGTTTATCTGCTAGTTCATTGCTGGCTGCAAAGAACATAGCCTCATCTGGACTGTGGAAAGCGGGGAAGCCAGAATAGTACTGTTGCATTCTGCTTTTGTTTTAATCATTGTGATCACTGCAGCACTTCAAAAGTGTGATGATGTGTAAGGAGTGGAAACTAACTCACTCAACACCTGTAACTTTTATGATAAGGAGTGAGCTCAGAGGGCCAGTTATTTTAGCTGATGGGAGAAGAGTTACTCTTAATATTACCAGGAAGGAGTTAGATTTTAATAAATAATGTTTGACTGATGTCCTTCCATTTCTGGCCTACTACTTATTACAAAATATGTTCTTTTATGTGCCATACATGCCAGTTTTAACTTGTCATCACAGTTCCTGTGCAGCTCACATCTGTGTGTGTTTTGTTCATGTTTTTATATCTTTGTGAACTGAGAAGTAATTTTATGGTGGGAGGAAGCAGAAGGGACTATTTGAATTATATGTGGAATTCATGTGAGTTGTATCTCTTCAAAAACGATACATTTTTAATAAATGTATTCAGTTGGCATCAGAAATAGTATTTAATGGTAGGTCGACTTCTAATGCTAAAGTTCTTCCTTAACTGTATGGGGAGATTGAAAGTTTAACTTGAAATCATAAAGGTTTTCTGAGTAGATTAAGAGGAAGTACCTGATTGGGTTTAAAAAGAAATCACCTACTCTCTGAGCCTAACTTCTTCCTCAGTATGTCTGGAAAAAATGTTACTCCCTGTCTAAACAACGTAGTGTTTAGTGGCGAGCTGATCTATTGAAACAATAGTTTTATAACTAGAAATTTAAATTTGATTTTAAAATGTGTAATTGCCTATGGTGTCTATTGAGGTCTAGATACTTTTATTTGGAAGCGTCTTTTATGATGGCCATTACTGTTGTTCGAGCTCTGTGTGCAAGCCCTTATTTTTTATGCCGAATCCTCCTTATGCAGTGTTCTCTTCTGACAAAATCTTTTTTAAAACAAAACATGAATTTCCTAAAGAGAAGTCCTTAGAAAAATTTGTGCAACTGAGTTTATAAAGACTTGCTATGGGGTAGCAGGAATCTTCCTCAATTAACAATTACTTGAGCATAGACTTTGTCCTAGCTTTATGAAGAAATGTTTCTGTTCACTATTTTAACTTTTAATCAACAGCATTTGTCTTGGAAGGATTCAAGAACGATGGAGTGTTACAGTAGAGTAGCCTTGCAGTCCTTGCTCTGCAGAGAAGACTGAAGACTCATCCTCAGGTAATTTTTTTATGTGAAGGGAAGTATTTCTTAGAGTTACTCTATACATTTATGGATAAACACTTAAGAAAAAAAAAAAAAAACAAAACCTCTAGTTTTTGCATCTCAGATGCTCCTCTGATTGTTACTTTGATTCTCCCTTAGGAAGGTCTCAGTGGGGTTTTGCACTATAGTATGGGGTGTGAGGAAATCTGTGGGACTTCTCTGATACCAAAGAAACATCTCTGACTTGAGACAGTACAAATGTTCTAAGAAATATGTCACTGGCAACATCTGTATAATACAAAACAGGCTAGTAAGCAGGAGTGTATAGCATTTAATATTGTACAGAGTAAAGACAAATATGATGGCCATTTGTAGAACATGGTTTAATATATTCAAGTTTTATTGAAAACCAGGATTTGTTTCTGGAAAAAGGTCATTCAGCATAATCTCAAGCTTCATCAGTCCTTCTAATTTGTCTTGGTGTTTACATCATCATACTAATGTGAACACAGTTTGGGAGGGAGGGTTATGTTTATATTTCTTGGTCTTTGTAAAACAATCAAAATCTCAGATTGCCAGTTGGCACCAAAACAAGTGCTTTATCTCTGATACAGTCTAACTATAAATTCTGTAATGCACAAACACATAGTCAAAAAGTGCTGCACTTGGTTTGCAATATTTGCTTGGTATCTGAAACTAAGTTTGTGGTGTATATAGCCTACAAACTTTTAGAATGGTTAAAGTTCATACAGAAAAGACATTTTATGAAATTTACAGGGCATATTGGTAAGTTTTAATTTGTTCACTTTTCTGGGTACTGCTTACTACTATGGCTTTTGCAATATTTGGCTGAGTTCTGATGTCATCAGTGTAGAACAGACTTTAATAAGGGAAGGGTGGGTCATCTAGTATGGGACAGCCTCCAAAAGAGGAAGTATAATAGTATTATCATTACAAGAAGCTTGTGCATATTGAACAGCTCACAGCTCATTTTCCTGAAGAAATGCAGAGGTGTTACAGAACACAAGCTGAGAAGAATACGAATATGAAATCCTACAATCCATCACATCTTGAAAACCGTGGAATAATTCAGGAAAGTCCTGAATGAAAGTGGCTGCAATCTTGCCTACATCAGAAAGAATTTTCTAATCCTTTTTTTGGCTTATTATAGTTGTGAAATATCCTTAATTTCTCACATAATAGCCTTATTTTTTGTACTTGGGTTTTTTTTACAAATTCTGTTTTGTCGTTAAAGAATTACAGGTTGCTTTTCAGAAAAATGTGACACAAACACTATTTCCTTTCTTGTTAAATTTAAGACTAGTACTGTAAAGTATGAAAAAGAATCACAGTATTTTGTAGGTAAAAAGAATGCCCTTATAAACTTGGGGATTATTTCTGTATCTGTGACAACATAACTCAGTTGGGAGCAGAAGTCTGCTTTGCAAGGTGAAATACACCCAGTAATCTCCAATGGTAATTGAATAGTTTTTTACTTCAGTCTGAGAGGCCTTAAAGATTCATTTGCATAAGAGAACAAAAAGTTGTATTTGACTCACAAACAAGGTTAAACTATTGGAGGAATATTCAGAAGCTTGCCCGATTGCACAGGCACAGCTTTCCAATAATTTTATCTACATGGCCTGCTCTAAGCAGCTCAGTGGAACCATGCCATGAGTCTGCTCCAGGGAAGTGACATGAGAGGTTCACATGCACCTCTCTGGAATGCCTCATTTATTTTGTAGTTTTCCTTCTTTCTTTTTCACCCAGGCACTGTGAGTCAGAATACTACAGGAGCGCCCTCTCTCCCTTGCTGTTGCTTCAGCATTGCAGATTATTCCCTCATTCACCAACACTGTAGGCTAATCAAAGAGATTATTTTTAGAGAATTTTGCTAGAGACTTGACTCAGTGGTTGACAAAAATACATACTAGAATCTTACTATATTTTTCCAAGTCTTACCACAGCATCTTGAATTTTGATCAGTTTTTCTTTTTGATGGGATCGGTTTAAACTAGTGCTTGTTCAGTGATCTCATGAGCACCCCTACACGGTCAATGCATGAATTATGTAACTTTAAAGTCCTCTTCTGTGCTAACTTTAGAAGACTTTTTAAATAAGGTGTTTTTTCCTGTGAAAAAGAACAGGGAATGTCCAAAATTACTTAATGCATCTCTGCAGTTGTTAGTACACTGTCAGGGCTTCTTATGTTTGTGCAATTAACACACACAGTTACTCTCTGGGTAGCTCTTGGTTTTTTAAGATTGGGCTGAGCCAAAAGAACAGTTAACTAGTTAGTAGATGAGGGGTGTGGGGGGTGAACCCCAGCAGCTGCATGTGGGATTGTTTTTGGAGGACAATGGCCACGTTGGACAAGAGCAAGACTTTGGCTACATCGCAATACAGTAGGCCACAACCTTGAAGAGCCCTTGAGGATGAGAAAAGAGGAAGAAGAACTGACAGTGCTGCACAGCTAGGGAATGATGAGGACATCTTGACCCTGGTTAGCCAGAAGTCTTGGGAGCAGCAAACAGGAATGTAGAAAAACAAGATAAGGATGCTGAGCTTTGTCTGAATAAAACATGCAAGGTGACATTTAAAGGAAAACATCTGGCTGTTTCTTAAACAGTGGAAAGTTTTCTAACTTGAGCTAAAAGGGTATGGAACACTGTGTTTGTGCTTGTAAGATTTAATTAACTAACAGGCTTAGGAGATAGCAGTAACTATCTTGTAGCCAGTAAGTTGTCTGGTGTATTATGGACAGAGGTAATGACCAATCAAATGTTAGTTTTAGGCATGTGGACAGTGTGTGGAGAATGCATGTAACCAATCAAGCCTTTTGTTTATGTGTGATCAGTTGCTAGGATGATATAATAAACGCGCTTGTGTCGGCAAGAAAGGTCTTCGATTTATGACTCTTACAGAGCTGCCGGAGTCCGTTATTCTCCTCAGCTGCACATCATGAAAACAGGATGACAGATTACAACATAAGGACTGTATGGCTTATGAGCTATATAAAAAGGTCATTAATTGCAAATGTTTTAATTTTTATGAAGCCACTTCATATAAAATATATTGAAGGGTATCACAAGTATAGTTCACTTGTGTGTTACGTAAGATAGTTACACTTGTGTATACATCAAGATTAAATTTTATTTCTTTAATGACAAAAGTACTGAGAAGTCTGGGTTCTTACCCTGCCTTTTCTTGAAAAAAGAATAAAAGACAGGAAAGGAGTTAATATAATAGTATTGCTAAAAAAAAAAAAAAAAATAAATAGGCCAAACCTAAACTTGTAGAGTTCAGGAAATCTCTATTCTTGCAGATTTTGGGCTTGGAAGATAAACCATCATTCTTTTGGAGTTTGTCTAAGTGCAGATTTCATTCTTTTTCCTTTTTGTGAGAAAGGTACTTGGAGCATAGGTCAAATGTTTCTGACTCATAAAAGCCAGAATTTTTGTTGACTATTATTAATGGTATTTTTTACTTTTTAATAGTAAGCATGGACAAATGAACACACAGTTTTCCTTTTTTATTTGAGACACTTAGCAAAAATGCTGAAATATCAAACATTTCCTCAGTAGCTACAATATTGCCACTATGTACAAAATATTTGATAAATGTAGTACACATATAAAAATACAGTATGCATTACATATATACAGTACAATGTGCAAAACATATGGCATTCAAACATATGGAATTGATTTTAGGGGTGCAAACAGCAAATACAAAGGCATCATGGTTTCTTATAGAAAGGCAATACATAAACTGACGCCCTGATTGCCATAATTTGCATTTAGTAAAGTAGTGCTTAAATGAAGATGGCCCTAGAGACAGGTGTCTATCTTCTTCTTTTCACAAAATGAGATGCTAAGACATAATTACGACTATGAAAATAAGAAGAGAAACACCTACTAGGGTTAGCGTTATTTCTACTGCAAGCAGTACTGTGAAGAAAAATCCTATCTGGAAAAAAGCCTGTGCTATTACTTAATACAAATTTCTCAAACAACAAAAACAAATCTGTACTGTTAAACATCAAAAACAGCTTTGAAAATATCTACATCCTTAATTTTAAAAAAGTATGGATAATACTTTCGGGGATTTCATTTCCTATGCTTCAAAATACAAAGTGCCTCCTTTGGCAGTATAAATGGCAATGCTTTGGTTCCTATTTAAATTTTTATATTATTATAATTTATTTTAGGCTGTCTTTTTACTATCTGAGCTGTATTTTTTTTTTTTTTTATAAAAATAGTGTGATTATATAGTTATTAACCATTCCCTGCTTTTTATTGAGAATTTGCTCTCATAGCTAGAATGGTTTTTTTGGCTAGATTTCTACAAATACATTTATGTACTTTTAACTTAAAGTCTTTATACTCAGTATTGGACACTACAGAATAATGTAGGTGTTTCTTTTTTGCACTTTATTCCTAGCAAACTGGTATAAAAGAAGTATTTGAGATTACTTCAGGTTTTAATGGATGCTCTTTATTGGCCATGTATATCCTATATGCAACTCCAATCCACATATCTCACATAAAAAAACATCTGAAGTATAGCCTAGAAGTCATCAAAAGGCGATTTAATAGACCACAATATAAAGAATTTCAACAGAACATTTAGTAGAGATAAATGGAAGAGATTTTTTTTCCAGTTTTAGTATAATTTGCTTTAAGTTCGTAATGCACTGAAGATGCCATCCAAATAATAATTGTTTACATTGGTAAGCTTTACTGTGTATTGATTACATAATGCCCTTCCAGTTAAATGAATTCTGCAATTGCATTTTCTCTGCCTTGAGAACAGTTCAGCAGCTTGTGCTTGGTTTCCAATTATGGTGCTTACACTTTTCAGGCATCTGAATGTTTGAGATTATGTAATGTATTGAAACTTCTATTTTGATCACCTGCTTGCTTGAACGTAACTTTTGTTGGTGAATTTTAAAATGCCTTGGAAAGAAATTTCAGTATTAAGTAGAGATTATTTCTAAAAGCTGTGGCCTCAGCTTTTTAAAGGCCTGATTCTGCAAGTCCACATTGCTGGATTAGACTCTAAATTTCTGTAGAGAACTACTGCCATAAATTCACTCTATTTTCAGGGAGAACAGTTAAATTTATGACAGTGATTTTTCAACTATTTATAACGTTAAACAAAACGTTGCCTGTAAACTTACTTTCCTTAACTAATGGTGAATGGCACTAAAAGTGCATAACAAATACTATTTCTGTGTTAAAGGAAGGATGTGACTCCTCTTGATTAACATTAGCCACGTAAAACACGTTCGAGCTCTCTAAGGATCTAGAAGTGTAAACACCAACTTTTGATTTTCACACTGATAAAATGGTATTCTTAATTACTTTGAAGGATCTGCCAACAACACATTTAAGAGGATGTGTTCTGTTAGTATATTGCAGCCATTAAATGGCAAATTTAGTGCCAGTGCATTCCTCTGCAACTGTTCTCTGAATGAGAAATATTCAGTTCTGTACAGTCAAACTGCACAGTCATGATTAAATTTCTAAGATGTATTGTGTTTGTGTTACAAAAATTGTCATGTAAGACATGCACACACAAAAGTCTAAGCAAAACCTATTTCTGCCATACCAGGCATATATGACTATGGCAAATATATCACATTTCAGAACAAAGTCTAAAGCAAACCATTATATGTAAGGTTTAATACACAATTCTGAAATGTACAAAAAAATAATCACACATTCCCTACACTATAATATTTGTACTTCAAAAACTAAAATGATCCCTTAACTTTTTTAGGTTTTTTGTTGTTGTTGATTTTTTTTTTTATTTTTATTTTTTGCAAATAGACTTTTAGAGTAGAAAGCTATACTGTACTGATAACAACACATCTCAACTGTTTGGGTTTATTTCTGCACATAGATTCCTATGGATTATTTAACATTCTACACTGCCAATAAGGATAGTTTTGTAGCAAGATGACTTTGCCAGTTTTAAGCTCTATTTACATGCACATCAAAATGACAGTACAGCTGCTCTAGCTTAATTTGTCCTCTAAAAATTAATTTACTTGCCTCTTACTTAATCAGAAGGCAGGGTCAAAAAGGGGTAACTCTAACCACATAGATGTGGTATGATGTATCACACACAATAAATTGACAGTACTGCAGAACACTAAATTCCATTCAAAGTTGTTCCTATCAGACCAAGAGTCCTTAATTCTTAATCTTGTAACAGCTGAGGGCACTTAAAATTTCAGAGTATTAGCTCCCAAGATAATATGAAAAGGAATGCAAAAAGTTGAATGTATTTGTTCAGTGTTATTAAAGAGTCCTATACCATCAAAATTTAAGGCAGACAGTCCATGTGTAATATTGTACTCAAGTATTGTAGGCACAGCAAGAAGGAATAAGGAAATATGTCTTTCAACTTCATCTTTTGTCGTGAAAATCTCCACAGATTGTCCGTCTGTACTTAGTTTCAGATTAAAGTAAATTCTGGCCTGTAAAACTATTGAAGATATATAATGATTTAAAGTGCTGGTAACTGATATGGTGCAAACATATGATGCCAGTTTAAGCCCTGAATCAATTATATAATCCACTATTTTATCTGAAGGCAATCAACTTCTGTAATATTAGTAAACCAGACTGCATTGTATATATGGAGACATAAATTTGCAGTTAATTCCACAACATTTTCTGACAAAAGTATTGTTTGATGTTAACATGATTGTGTTTTCTTTTTTTAAAATGTGATACAGGTTGCTAAATAGTTAACAGCTACTTTCTGGTTTCATTATGTCTTTGATATCTATCACTAGTCTAAGAAGTAAGCAAAAGCTTCAGGGCATTTTTTCATTATTTCCTACAAAACTTTATTTTTGAAGGTTGGTGGTGAGGAAGGAATTATGCAATGAGATCAGTTTTCAGATTAGAAAACATACCACGTTTCCGCTGTTCAGGAAATAGGGGACTGTTTCCTTTTATCTTAATTTAGGAATTCCCTTATAGGAAATAATTCCAATTTTATGTTTGATTATCAGTCTCTGTTATCTATGGCAACATTTAACAGCTATTACCTGAGACACAACCACAGAATTTCAAGGTATTTTACTTCTATTTAAATTTTTTGTTTGTTTTTCCAACTGCTTTAATAATAGACTCTGAAAAAAAAAAAAAAACAAAACAAAACAGCTAAGGACTTTATAGTATTTTCATGCTGTGCTGTGAGGTAAGAGCTTAATTTTTGCTATTATCTGTTTCAGGTATGAAATGTGCCGCCTTATCACAAAACAGTACATCTTGATACTGCTATTTAGGATTCTCACTGAGCAGCTTATCTGTTTAGTTTCCCTGATGTTATGTAGTGGTAGACAAAACTATTCAATAGATAAAGTATTAAGAAATGGTGGTTGTCCTGTCAGTACTGTCCCCTGCGACTCTGATCCTACAAACATCTTTTATTGAGGGTACTGGGACTGTTCTTGCATAGATGCTTGTAGGATCATAGTGCACAACAGCATTAATTAAACTTTTCTAGTTCCTCAAACTGTTCTAATATGCTGAGATACTGGATTCAGTGATCTAACAAATATCCTCAAAGACAAAAGTAAATTAGGATATTTCTTATTTCCATTATAGTAATCTCTTGTTTGAAGACCACCGTTCCCCTCTGTTCACAAAAATAAGGTTAAGAGTATACAAGTAACTGTCTGAAATACACATTAAAACCTAGCTATTAAATCCAGAGCATTGCTATAGAAAATTCAGTGTTCTCAATATTACCTGGCGTAGCTACAGTGGATTTCTTGCAGTTACACTTAATATCCCTTTGGATGCAATTAAATTCTTCCCTCATGATTAAAGAATGGGGAAAGAGTTTTAAAAACCACAAAACCAAAATATAAAAACAACTTGAACAAATTAAGAGACTAGATATATGAAATTTCACTGAACCAGCCAGTGCTTGTACTTGCCTTTGCCCTCACAATTCATTTTGAACCTGGCTCAGGCTATCCACAGGAACAATGAAGTGCAGTGATATCTCACCCTCCCCGAAACATCTGCTCACTGTGTCAATACAAACAGTTGAAATCTCACTTTTCTTCTCTAAGTTTAGCCATGTTGTGTTCCTCACTTAAGCATAACAAAGTCAGTGACATAACTTTTCTTAAATATTTGTGATGCATTTACCTTGGGGTACTTTTAATTAGTAAGTACAATCATCCTTTCTTGACTTGTGAAATTCAGCTTTCAGAGGGCCCTGGTCTGCATTACTGATAGAAGCATAAAGTAATTCAGTTGTAAACTTGAAAATCAGTAAGGAATTAGCTTCAAGCATTTGTTCTTCCAAACATTACGGTCTTAATTTATCTTAACTGCAATCAGAATGGTACAACAATGGACCTCTGCTATAAAGAGACTTGCAGGTTGTGTTCTCATTGGCTAGAGCTTAATCCCAGTGCAACTGTAGATCTTGTGGATCTAGAAAGTCAGTGGAAAACACGCTGGGGGCAGTAGAACTGAGAGGAGTGAGTCCAGATGAGGAGTTGGGCATTGTAATGTCTAGCCATTCCATATTGTCCAAATTTGTATCGGGAAGGTCAAGAGAGAGACAAGAATTATTAGCGGTAAACTGTGGGTCAGATGTTTCCATTGGTGAATGAGAGTGATCTAAAATGCTGGAGTGATTAAGCAGATCATTCTGGAGGTCTTCAATTAAAGAAAATGACTCTCTGTCCTCATTATTGCTTGTCAGTTGAGGAATTTCATTACCTGATGGTAAAGTTCCATCCAAGAGGGCTTCAAGTTGGTTTTCCAAACTTATAGACAAGCTGGTTGTTGGTTCTAAGGACACAGGAGGAGGGGCCATTTGGATTTGTGGTGGTGGGCGGGATATCACTGTATTCACTGGCATTGTAGTGATGTTGGCTGTTACTGGTCTCATTTTAGAAATGGGAGATGGTTCCTCCTTTATTGGAAGGGAAATCTCTGTAATAAAAAAACCCAACTCACTACTGAATTCAGAAAAGATAGGGACATATATCCTCAGGTTTACAACTTCCATCTCTTTTTTTCCTACTTTGGGATGCATCCACAGTGAACTCAGTGGAGTAAGAGGCATTTTGCTGTTCTGATAATACTAACACTACATATATCAGACTATGTCAGGTCTTCTATGAACAACAAAGTATTTTAAAACAAGTTCCAGAGTTCTGCTTTCCAGTAATTCTTCAGCCAAACAGAATATTCAGACTGATGAAAAAAGGAACAGTTTTCTAGATGTTAGCTTTACCTTTTTCATGTTTACAGTTCTTCTAACTAATTAGAATGATTATGGAACTGACACATTTCCTCATTTAGAGAGGCGTACCTGAACCAATTTTCAGTTCCCTCCCTATTTAGTACTGTGTCCACCTTGATGAATTCAGAGTCTAAAAGATCAATTGATGTGATTAGGATGCATTTATTCTTGATTCTAGAATCTAAACTTACTCTTCTGTCAAGAAGTTCCATCTAAGATAGTGACAGAAACAATAAAATGAATTAAAGCAGCGTTCCAATTAATTCTTATCATAGAACAATTTGGGTTGCAAGGCACCTTAAAGATCATCTAGTTCCAACCCCCCTGCCACGGGCAGGGACACCTTCCACCAGACCAGGTTGCTCAAAGATCTGGGGAGGGGGCACCCACAACTTCTCTGGGCAACCTATGCCAGCGCCTCACCACCCTCACAGCAGAATTTCTTCTTTACATCTAACCTAAATCTACCCTCTTTCAGTTTAAAGCCATTACCTCCTATCTTATCACTACACTACCAATAAACAGTCCCTCTCCATAATTCCTGCAACCCCCTTTAAGCACTGAAGGCTGCTCTAAGGTCTCCCTCCAACAGCCTTCTCCAGGCTGAACACCCTCAACTCTCTCAACCTCTCCTCACAGGGCAGGTGCTTCAGCCCCTTGAGCATTTTCGTGGCTTCCTCTGGCCCTGCTCAAGCAGGTCCATATCCTGATGTTGGGAGCCCCAGAGCTGGACGCAGCACTGCAGGGGGGTCCTCCTGAGAGCGGAGCAGAGGGGGAGAATCCCCTCCCTCACCCTGCTGCCCACACTTACTCTTGATGCAGCCCAGGACAGGGTTGGCTTTCTGGGCTGTGAGCACACATTCCTGGCTCACAGGCAGTTTTCCATCCACTGCTACCCCCAAGTCCTTCTCCACAGGGCTGCTCTCCAACCACTCCTCACCCAGCCTGGATTTGTGTTTGGGATTGGCCTGTCCCATGTGCAGGACCTTGCACTTGGCCTTGTTGAACTTCATGAGTTTCACACAGCCCCACCTCTCCAGCCTGTCCTGCTCCCTCTAGATGGCATCCCTTCCTTCCAGCGTGTCACTGCACCACACAGCTCAGTGTCTTCGGTGAACTTGCTGAGGGTGCACTCGATCCCACTGTCCATGTTGCCAACAAAAACGTTAAACAGCACCGGTCCCAACACTGACCCCTGAGGAATGCCACTTGCGAACATTTTCTACTTGGACATCAAGCTGCTAGACCGCAACTCTGAGTGCGACCATCCAGCCAATTCCTTATCTACTGAGTGGTCCATCCATGCAATCCACATCGGTCCAATTTAGAGACAAGGTGTCTTAGTTTGGGCTGAAATAGAGTTAATATTCCTTTTCAGGGACTAGATGAGTGCTGTGTTTGGGATTTAGCTTTGGGTTTGGTATGGGAAGAATGCTGATAGCACACTGATGTTTTCAGCTGCTACCGAGACTTCAAGGACTCTCCGACTCCCCATGTCCTGCCCGTGCGCAAGGGCACAGGGAGCAGGGAGGGAGCACGGCCACAGCACCTGACCCTAACTGGCCAGTGAAATATTCCATATCATGGAACGTCATGCTCACTGTATAGAGGAGGGGTGGTTGGGAAGGGGCTCTCTCTCTCTCTCTCTCTTGCTTCCGGGATTGCGACTGTGGGATCTTGGTATCTCAGGGTCGCTGGCCGGGAACGGGCTGGATATTGGTCAGTGGGTGGTGAGCAATTACGCTGTACATTGCCTGTTTATATATTTCTTTTTGTTTTCCCCCATCATCATTATTGTTTTCGTTTTATTGCCATTATTAAACTGTTCCTATCTCAGCCTGCGAGTCTCCCTTCACCCCTCTAATTCCCTCCCCCATTCCCAGGTGGGGAGGGGGAAGGGAGGATGATTAGCTGCTGCATTGTGGTTGGCTACCAACCAGGCCTAAACCACGACACAAGGATATAGTGGATGGACACAACATGTGAATGGAGTTCAAAAATAAGGTTAGACAGGCCAGAATACGCAAATAAATCTTTTGGCACAGGTGATGTTTCTGCTAGAAAAATGATACCTGATAATATATTTTCTACCAGTTTTCCAGGCAAAATCCACATCCGTAAAACTTTTAAGAGAATCTATTAAAATGACTGCTTAGTAAAAGAAAATCATAACTAAACAGACCCTCTCACTCTCTTAAAGTACATTAATAAATTAAAACGTTTTTCAGTGTAGGACTTGCTTATGTGAGTGCAAGAGCCCTGAATTCTTTACTTCGTTTTTCATAAAGATGACTGGGAAAGGTTTGCTTTTTTATTGCAACTTCGCAAATAAAGAGCAGTTGTTACCTTTAAGATCAAATAGGTTTAGTAACTTAACAATTGAAGCAAATACTTAAGCAAATATTTAAAAGTAGGCACACCAATGTTTCCTGTGTCCTCTGCTCCAGAGGTAGAACTTCTCTGAACTACTCATGCTATATTTTAATAAAAGCACTGAATGCATTTTTTAATTTAGCTTGAGTTGTTCACTGTACAGGTCACTTATCTCAGTCTGTCACTGTCTACTCCATTTTCTTCAGCTGACTCTGCAATTTGCTTTGAAAAAGAAAAAATACTTCGATATTTGTAATATGGCTAAAATCTTCTAGTATCCTACAGTCAGTTACTTCTGTCCTGGCCCTCACTGCTGTCAAGATCTTGATATGACAGCAGTACAAAACATCAAGTTAATTGAATTGCTTGGCATCAGAACATTTCCGAGTATTGTAATGGCTTCTTTGTCTACAAAGTCTCATTATGCCTGAAAGCCGCCTCCTTTTACTGCAAAGCTACTTTGTATATTGTTTTAGTTATTTCAGTTCCTTTCTGATACCTCCCTTATCTTAACTCACATAGAAAGTTATTCATTAATATCTATGTAGTTCATACATACTTTTTCCAGTAATGTATCTTTGGTTATATTTAATGAAATTTCAGTATCAACATGCTTCACCTCTTACTTTAATACTAGTTTCATCCAGGCTGGACAGTTTCTACCTCCTTGCCCTGGGAATAATTCTTGCCTTTCATTTCTTTGATTATAGCACTGACTTTTTATTATTGGGTTTTAAATATCTACATCATACAGATGTTAATTAGCTTACCTCCGCTCTTGATGAGAATATCAAAAAGATCATCCATCTGCTGACTGTGTGCACTGGAAATCTGTATTGCATAAGAAAAGGGTTATTCTTTTTCATGTAGTATTTCTTCCTAAGCTGATTGTTCCTAGCTTCTCTCATACATAAGTACTAACTTATCATTAAGACTAAAATTCTTCATATGAAACTGTCAGTCTAGAAAACAGAGGTGTATTTTGGAGAGACACTTGTAATCCCTGTGGTCAGTTTCAGTACAAATAGGCAAAAATTCTGAAAAGCAAGACAAAGATTTCATGAGGGCTAACTAGAAGAGAGGTGCAGAAAACTAGGGATAAGGAGCAAAATTTCCCTATTTCGTACCAGGGTATCTGGAATAACTGCAGGACTTTAGGGGGTACACCCTGGACTGCTTTCTCTCAGAGATATCCTGCAAATAGCCATCATGTAAGATACATTTTGTTAGGTATGCTGTTTTTTTTTTCCAATTTGTAGATTCATGTTCTCGTCTTTGTTTTAAACGGCCATCTCCTGCATATCTGACCCTTGAGCAAAAGGTAATAAAATCCCCACAAACCCATTCTTTCAAAAATGGTCTAGGAAAAGTGGAGACTCCTATGATGGTCTCAAAACTAAGACCGTGTTTTATAACACTGGTTATACTCCAGAGATGGGAAGTAATTTGTTATCAGGAGACCTAGCTCCCGAAGAGAGGCACTTCACTAACTATCTTTTGGGATAGTTCTGAAACGCAGGTCAGGGATGCTTATTCGTTTTGTTTGCAACTTTTGTCCAGCAGGAAGGGTGTCATGGTAGACTGACAAAGCACTTCGTAGGATTATTCATCAAGCTTATTAAATACAGACTCTTTTCAAGCAAGTACCTATGCTCATGTATATATATATGTAAGTTTGCCTAAGTGTGTATAAACACACTGACACACGTTCTCTTTAGTTTTACTTTGGAAAATATGAATATATTTTCTCTTATGTCTGAAGTTTGGGTATCACACATTTTTGAAACAGTTGAAACAAGCTAGTTACTGTTAAGTAGCAATAGCAGCATTATCTCAATTATATATATATATTTCACCAACTGCATAATATAAGACTTATTTACATGTCTGTTACTTTAATAAAAAGAATCATGAAATAGAAGTCCTGTAGTTAGACACAGTTATGAAAATATTAACAAGTTATGTTAGAAAATCTTGACAGCAAACAGAAAAATAAGAAATGGCTTTGCTAATTCTAAAGAAAAAAAATGTTTTTAATAGACTAAATGAGAAAATAACTACCTCACGGTGTGATGTCTGAATATTGCGAGTCTGTTTTATGGCCTCTTCATAACGAGGAGGATCTTTTGTCTTGGATACTGTGTTGTTGAAGAGGGACTGTTGAACAACATAAGGCTGGGCTTGAGATGGAGAACCAGGCTGCAAGAAATAACGAAACAATGACTAAATAATAATGTTTTAGTGAATTAAAGATGTATCACTTTCTACAGATTATTTTGTTTTGTTGTACCAATCTACATATTTACAAATAACAATAGCACAGGTAATCAGAGGGATAAAATTATTTATTTATCTCTTTCTCACACATACATACTCACATTATTAAAATCTACAAAAAATTCTTCCTTGAGTGAACTGTAAGTCCCATGTTATTTAAGAATAATAATATAAAACTGAACCTTATGGAACACTGTTGGGCTAACCTTACCTTATTAGGAGTAGGTCCATTCTGCACAGAGGGCACCTGATTACCACCAGTGTGAATGTTGGAGTTTGATGTTTTATTAATAAAAGATTGTGAAGATGTTGTAACTGGTGTGGTCTGGTAGGAAAATACTGTATTTGACGTGGCAGGTGGAAAAACCTGTAAAGGATTAATATCAGTCTTAGGTTGGGTTTTTTTTTTTAGAAATTAATAATATTGGGTAAATGACAGTAATAAAGTTTAAGGCTTTTTTTTAAAAAAATACTTGCTTGCTTAAATTCCCTATTAAGGGAATATTATTTGTACTGATTTTTCCTTCCAATGGAATAATTTGTAAATCCAGAACAATTACTCTTTGAAAGAAACTCTCTGCTGTGATATGCTTTCGTTCATCACTGATAACTAAAAATATTTTACTCTGATTTTCCAGGAAGCACGAGGAAAGTGTAATATAAGAGTATGAAACACTTAATACAGTATGCATCATTTCCCCACCTAGTGGACAGTCAAGGAAATGAACTTATTTCTGGCCTGATACAAACTAGTGTATGTTTCCACACTTGTCCTACACTGCCTGTTTTAAGACACAATGGTTTGGTTTGTGGCATATAATTCTAATTTCTTTTACCTACAGATATCTGTGAGTAGTGAGGGAGAGGCAAAAACTATAACTGATGAACTTGGATATCAACTGGAAATTTGGCTACTGGTATATAAACTTTTTATTTCTTCAACTCAGTTCATACACTCATTGCAGATGATTCCAAGCAGTATCTCACTTCTTACATTTTTAAGTTAAAGGAAGAAGAGCTATGAATGAGTGCATGAGATTGTTTTTTTAAATTCAGTATCACTCCCAGATACCTTTATGACAAAGGCATAACAAGTCTTAGATCAGAAATGGAGTTAAAGCTAGGATAAGCTTTGTGGAGTATAGTCTGAACACCAAATTAAGTTTGCTGTGAGAGGGTTTAATACAGTTTTTGTTAGCTACCTGGATCATCTGTGAAAACCGCTGAACTTTCCAGCTATCTACCAATGAGGTGAATGGCTGTGGAGATGTCTTCTTATTAATGAGTAAATTCAAGAGCAAGGGCCATGTGTTAGCTAGTATGTGAAGAGACATCTCAAGTGTGTAGGAGAAAATAAATGGAATAATGAGCTGGTTTGCATAAAAATATGAGCTACCTGAGGAAGTCTAGATGGATTCAAGGGAAACTGGCTCTGGAAAGCAACTGTTTATGGAGGTGATCACTATTAGGATGATCAACTTCACTAAAAAGTGTGAAATTAATAAATAGCATTACTCACACATAGTTCATTAGCTCAATCTGCCTGCTGAAATATCCAAGCTTTGTGAAATGCAAACAGCAGGCAGGTAGATCTAATGCTGGATGCATAAAGACTGTCTTGATCTACTGTATCACATCAGTATTTTACATTCTGATGTAAAAACTACTGCAATTATGCTGCCCGGTTCCCTATGTAAAAGGTGGCAGTAGACGTGTGAGAATACCAGCTAGGACAGGCAGGCTGTTCAGCTCCAGGATAGCCCATGCAGACTAAAGTCCGCTGGGAACTGTGTGGTCTCCACGACAAGTGATCTGAATAGGGGGAAAGACCAGAGGGTACACTTCTTGATTATCTCCTGCAATCATTTCAAGGCACTTCTAAACAGCAAAGGAAGCAATCTGCTAGTCTCTGGCACAAGTATATGCCACAGGATGACTGGCAAATTTCTATATGGGACCTGTTGAATTAACAAGGTAAGATTAGCCCCTCACCAAATCTCAGAGAACCTGGATGAAATCTGCTTTTTGGATATATGCCAGTTTTGACTTCTACAGGATAACTTCAGTGTCCATTAAATTAAACAGATTGAACAAGCAGTCTAAAGAGTGATGATGCTCATTTAGTTGTATTCCCTTCTGTTAGCCAGCTGTCTAGAGAATGGCAGGGCATAATCATCTATCTTCTAAGGTAAATTCTTATCTGGAACAAGAGCCTTAGCAGAAGCAGATTAGAGGACACTGCACAGGTAGAAGCCCCAGATCACATCAGAACATGGGTTTTACGATACAGTTTTGTAAACTGAAATATAAACTTTGAAGACTGAGATATTTTGTAAGTTACATAACATACTGCAAAAATTATCCTATTTATCTTGAAATTTTAGTTGTTTCTGAATTATCCTTTCCCTGGGGCAGGCTGAAAAACCTTGTCCTAAGTGAGAGGAGCCTTAGTGTCAGTAGCACTGGTGAGGAAGCAATAAAGATCCATGACCAATCTCTCAGTTCCTAATAATAGAGATCAGCCTGGAACAGGCTCAAAGGAGGTGAAAGCCTTTTCTTTTGTGATGACTGGTGCCAATGGGTTGGTATCAGTTACCACAGGAACATGACCGGAGTGGCACTCACAGCTGTGCATCCAGTGCTGATGAGTATCTGTTTTGAAATGGGAAATTTCAGAGCTGAATGTTTTGGGTAGAGAGGAAGAGAAGGATTTCTCACTGAATCATTCCCTTCATTCCTCAGGAAGAGATGTACTGTAGTATGGTGTGGTTTTGACTCACTGGAATTGCTATCCTCAGTGTCTGAGTCCATAGCTTTCTTTCTAAGTAAGGATGAAATCAACAGGGAAAGTAGGAGAAATAAAAGGAACTCCTATAAAAGAATAAACCTGTGAAGCCATAGGTAAAAGCTTTCTCTTAAGAACTGCCTCCAAGAATCTTCCATTTTGAGCCAGTGGCAAACATGAGAAACTGACTGGAATACCTGATACACCACTTGTGCCAAGCATGAGGAAGAACTTCGTAAGAGTGTTGCCATAAGAATACCATTAAGATAAAAAAGTCTTTAGCCTTATGTATTTATTTGCAACTGAAAAATAAAGTCCTGCACAGACTAAAATTTTGGAAGGAGAAGGAGTTACAAAAGCCCATTGTATCACACAGAAAAACATGGTACAGAGATGTTAGGTGACTTGATCATTTATATATGACGCAGATGACACATAAAAGATTCTAAAAGCACTGCCTAGAATTAGGTTACACAACTATTTATTTTAATGCTTATTGCTATCCACAAACCTTTCCGATTTGTTGGGTCTGACCAAGTGTATGCTGCATGATGGTGTTTTGCTTTGATTGTGGAGTGTGCATCTGAGGTGCTGCCTGAACCAGGCCAGAGGAAGAAATAGTAGCGGGTATTTGTGATGGGGTCTGTATTCCAGCTTGTGATTGAGCCTGAAGGATGAAGATAAAATATTTGCATTATTTGTATCTCACGATAAATTACATAATATAAAAATCTGTTGCACAGATTATGCAGAATAGCAATAGCATGTATTCTGGGAGGGATAAATGTGAAATGTGTGTAGGAGAGAAAATTGGTACTCTGTTTGGTACTGGTGAGTTCCCAGCTAAAAGTTGGTGTTTATTTTGCCAACAGTTTAAGAAAGATAAAGACGAACTGGAGAGGGTCCAGTGGAGAGCAATGAAAGTAAGAGAGAGAGCAGACCCATTAAGAAAGGACTATGAGAACTGGGTTTGAGTAACCAGAAAGACAGAACTGATAATGTAAGAAAAAGGTTGTTTTTAAAAAGATCACAGTAGTTTTTAATGGCCACTGGAAGGTAAGAAGCATGTCCAACAGGAAAGACAATTTTAGCTGATAGGAAAATTTTCTGCAATATGAGTGAAGTGAAATACCAGAACAAGCTGCTTATGGTTGTGACAGAATTCTAGCAGGATTTTAGAACAATTTAGACAAATTTTAGCTACCAGGTAGCTACCAGGAATAATTCTTGCACTGCAGACTGTGGGACTCATCCCCATCAGAATTTTACAGCCCTTGGAAGTATTGCTGAATATGATGGCGCACAATGCTAGCACTGAAGCCGAGGCCCACAGCATGCCAAAACCCCCAAGTACACACTGGAGCTGAAAGAATACTTTACTGGCATAATAACCATGTGGGCAGCAGGGGATTTCATCTAGATAGGTCCCAGGAATGCCACTGGGAAGTACATGCTTAATTCTACCATAGACCGACAGGTTAAACTCTTTCAGCTTGGTGAGATTACTCTTCCACCTCTTCATTTATAACCTGTCTTGCGTTGCGCTGTATTTATGCACTGTTACACCACCTATAATCAGCCTAGAAATAATATTTGTGTAACCATGGTTTCTTTTTATAATTCCATTGGAGTTCTACAACCTAACATTCACATTCTTAGATATAATAAGCCCATATCACACAAGGAAATTCAAACACACATTTTGCAAACAGGTATACCTCAAAATAAAGTACTGGGTTTGGAGCTCTCTATTACAATTTGGAGTTAACAAAATGGTCGTATGTGCTGATATGAATCAAAACCAACTATGCATGGAGGCAGTACATGGTAAGACAATTACTTTTCAGGGAAGAGTATTGGGGAACAAAAATTGTAAAGAAAGCAAGTACTAGAAGAAGTTATAAAGAGATTGGCTCTTAAGTTTTTCCACTCTTTTCCCTAAAGCAGAAACAGACTAAGCCAGACTTGTAAGTTAATCTTACAAGCAGCACATTTACCTATTTATACTAAGTTGTGCAAATAGTGCCATGCAGATTACATGATGAAAAATAAAACCACCCTTACCTGCAACTTTATATTTCCAACTGGTAGCTGCACCGCAGTGGTAGAATTCGGTCCCTGGATAGATAGTGGAAGGAGCAGCTGTGCAGTTCCTTGGGTAGTTAATAAAGCTTGAGGTTGGGCAACAACTGCAGTTTGTGGCTGCCTCTGTGGATTAACATAAAACTGAGAAATGGCATTCTGAGGTTCAGCTTTGGCCACAGGTATCTCCTGCTTGATAACAACCGCCTTTTTGGCAACTGGATTCTGGCCACTAGTATATACTGATTGTGCTAAAGGATGACTAGCCACAGGTACAGATTGACTCGTACTAGAGCAGTCAGTAAGAGCATTTTCATCTTTGACAGCAGCACTGAATTGCTTTTGTTCCATAGCAGCTGAGTTACCAGAAGTCTGAGACTGTTGCTGTTGTCCCCGTTTTTCAACCTCAAGTTGCATTTTCAGTACTTCCACAAGTTTTTGCTCTTGTTCCAGTTTCCTTTTGAGCTCTTCAATCTGCTTTTCTTTTTCTTGAAGTTTGCGGTCCTTTTCTGCTACATCAAACTCCATGGTTGAGATGCTTCCACTACTGCGGCTCTGATTATCATCACTGATATTTGCTCTTAGTGGTGAAGTACTTAAGAACTGGGATGGTGACATCATGCTCATCATTTCTGTGAAAGTATCTGCCATACTAGTATCATCTGTGCTTAGACTAGATTGTTCGGAAGGAGAGGGAGATATAGGCAAAGGAGAGCTAATGTTTTCAGTATTTACTACTTTGCAGCCAGGTCCGGTAGAGGTTTTTTCTGGAGGAAAGCTCGATATCGTATTAGCCACTGGTTTATTTAGTGTTGCAACAGGAAATGCCACTGTCACTTCCCCTGTGTTACCTGTGGCCCCAGTAGAAGTTGTTACTGTAACAGAGCTATTAGTAGCAACCCCATTGTTATTAAGGTCTTGATAAGGTTTCAGACGCTCAATCAGATCTGTTTTTGTTCCAGACACTGGTAATCCCCTCAATTTCAACTCCATTTTAAGCTCCGCTACCTGAAATAAAATAAAGCACAATAGTAAAAAAATAAAATATTACATCTTATTTGTATAACATCTTAGTAGAAAAAATGTTTTTTAGCATATTTGCAAGTGATTACACCTCTGGGTTCTGACAGTGTATGATCCATGAGCACATTTCCATGACCTGCTACTTACTTTCACTGTTGATGTGGTCAAAACCTTAGTAATGTTCATTGTACAATGAAAGTAGCAAAGTTATGCTGATTTTTCATAAGCAGTCAAAATGGGAAAAATGAACGTACAGCTCCACTTCTGGGCTAAAGACTTCTGAATCAAACCTGTAGACGGTGGCATGAGTGCAGATAAAAGCTCTGAACACTAGCACACTGAACCTCTGTTACACCATCAAGACAGACCTTTCTGAGAAGTTTTAGCAGGTCAGTAGGATGATTCAATAGACCCATCAAACACAAAAGGCTCCCTCTCTAACTAGCAACTGAACAGTTACTGCTATGTGCCATCTGGGTTTCTTTTACAGTCATAAAAAGTATAAGCAGTCAAAATTAATCTAATTTCTGATAGAAAAATTTCAGTTTTCCAATAAGCTTACAAATGAAGTGAAGTGCAACTATGTTGAGTGTAAATTAATTCTGTGCTTCAAAATACCAATTAAAAAAGAACAGTCACAATAAATGGCTTCTGTTTATGATGTACATACACCACATCTAACTATAGCATGTTCGGCCTATATGTATGTTAGAATCACCTCTAAAAGATTAAAAGGTAGTGACCTCAGTAATATTTTAGTACTTTGCCAGTCTAGAATTTTAAATTATAGGTCTTCCTGATTTAAAAATGATGAAAAGTCACAGCAATCCATTTAACATTTCTAAGAACCACAGCAATTTTATGTTAAATAACTGTTTACCCAACAGTGATTATCAGCAGTTTCCCCCAGTCTGGTATCCTCTACACTTCCTTAAGAGTGCATTCCAATTTTTCTCTTTTTCAATAATGAATTTCTGAATTTAATCAGAACTGATTTAGATGATTCAGTGTTAAAACCACCACCAGCAGGTCTGCAAATATGGCTTATCTTGGTGTTACCATATTAGCAGGAATACCAATAAATTCTGCAGAAATGGGTACGTGAACAGCTTTAATCACTGCAAAGCACAAATTCAAGTATTAACTTTAAAGTCTGAAAAGCTTATTTCAAACACTGTTGTTTGAATTGCATTTTATAGGCTTGTTTCATATTAGAAGATTGGCTTTAACTGATAAGAGTAGATTACTGTCTTGAGAATCTCATTTTTGAAAACCTCTTTTTTTTGATCTCTTCAAGTCTAAAAAAATACTCCCATCCCTCAGAAACCCAACACTTTGGTAAAGGAAGGGAGAAACGAATAAACTGCCCACTAGATGTCCCTACACCTCCGTGCACATTTGGCACTTTCTGGTACTTGCTATTGAAAGGATCTGAATCTAAAGCCCCACAGGCTTCTTCAAATTCATTTTCATTAGGTCCCTCACAGTATTAATTCCTGTTAATGTATTTTTGAAGGAAGATCCTGTGCAATGCCTTCATCTTACAGTTCAAACAGAGTTTACACAGATAGTTTTATCTTCAAGAAGCTTTTATGAAAATTAAGTGTTCATTATCAGATGATATATTGAACTCTGGTAAGAAGATCTCTTCTTTTTCTTTTTCTGTTCTTTTTTACTAAATTATTTCTGTGTTGGCTTTATAGTTGTGACCTCTCTCAATATGTCATTATTAGGGGATCTTTTAATTTATACTGCTTAACTAAACCTCTTCAGGGATATACTAAAATTGTCATGAGGGAATTACTGTTCCAGTGTTTAAATATGCCTGAGTTAAAACTTCACAATAAGTGCACCTCATAGTTTACCCAAGGTATCAAATTATGTATCTATACAATCTGTCTGAAATTCTTCTTCCTCTTCTAAATCTTTGAGAAAGAAATGTCATTTCTAGAACATATGCATGTGAGGAGGCTATTAAGTCCACAAGAGTTGTGTACAAAAACTTTGAAAACCTTGTTCTAAATTGTTAAGAGAAAAGTATTGGTAAATGATATCCGGGCTTATTCTTGACAGTGACAGTTTTCAAGTTATGACCCATAGTGATGCACAGGAATGGACAAAACCCTCTTTTTTTACCTTCAAGTCATCCAGGCTTGAAGGTAGAGGTCCTGGTTTCCGGCTAGGAATATTACTATTCTGTCTTGGTGAGCTGGCAGCTGATGTTGGTGTACTGTTGTTCAAAGTATTCAGTGGCGTATTCCCATTGTTACTCTGTTTGTCATTCACTGGCCTTCAAATGATAAGAAAATGGGGGACAATAATGTCAGTGCTAAATATATTATGTTTTCAATCAAGAAGCTGTGATTCTGAATCTAGTGTCTAACAAGTTAATGAACAAATTATTTTTTTTTACAAATATATATTTAACATAAGACATTACCATTAAATATCTTTAGTAAAACAGCACATAGAAGAAAACATAACAGTTGAGAGTAGTATGTTGATGTTTTATTTTCTCTTCAGTTAGGCATACTAATTTATGCTTCATAGTTTTTCTTATTGTCATGGTATCCCTGAAGGATATTATGGACTGCAGAATCAGTTTATACAATTTAACCATCAGCTAGGGCAGCTAGTTTATTTTTTATCTGACATCAGTAAAAAACCCCCACAATATTGAATACTCTATATATCAACCCTACATACAAGCCCAATGTTCATATATAATAAGAACCAATGTGAAGGCAGTTTACTCTGAAGATGATGCATTTTTATCAGCTGTACTCATAAGAATATCATACAAGGATCTCAAAATAGTTATAAAAAATTTTAAAATGCCATCATTTACACTAGGTACCGTAAGTCAGCTCTTTTATTTTGTTCAACTGATTTATGAAGAAATGTTTCTGAAATGTCAGTAAATGGAACATAAGAAGCGTGGGTAAGCAGGCAGAAACATCTCTAGTCCAAATGTTAGGATACATGGTAATTATAAATATAACCACAGATGGTTTCTTTAACTTTTCTAGCCTCACTTGCTGAGGAAAAATAACTCACTGAAAACTCATTAAAAAAACCAAAAAAAAACAGTTCAAAGTCATTTGAATTGAGGGTTGTGTGACTATGGCATGTTACAGTGTAGGCACTTCTAGGAAAAGATTGGTCTTAGATAATGAGAATGAAACTGCAGATAGTTAGCTTCTCATTCTGCTATAGGGTGCTGGGCAACTCTGAGTATTTCTTTTTCTGACTGCTTCTACCTATAAATCAGAAAGCATAGTACTCACTGTTAAAAGTGCTAAAGATTAATGCTTATATGAGTTTCTCATCGGTGTTGGAGATGAGGCTATAAGCAATATACAAATTTAACCTAATTTAAAATGACTGTTTCTTCTCATTTGTAAACTGCAAAAATGTAGTCTGTGAAACTGATGTAAAGAGATAATAAAAATAATAGTAGGTGTCTTTCTAAAAGCTATCATCTGTAAGCTTCTCTTCTGCTCATATTTGAGTCGCATTTGTCATATCTGAGTGGAAATGGCATCAAAACTTCCTGGCTTTCACATAAATGCTTTTGAGTTTCAAATATACATCTGGTTGGAGAAATGCATCTGACAGGTAGGAGGTTCTGTTTCTATATCACACAAAAATAACCAGGACCACTTAAAGGATTACCAGACTTCAGGAGTATTTTAACAAGAGAACCACCTCATCACCTTGTTAAATGGGGCAAATAACACCCACAGTGATGCACATTGTCATTTAGGCTTCCTTGGGTTCCAGCTGTCTCTTAACATTTGCAAAACACATTTATTTCTAAAGCACTAAGTCTATAACTGATGTATGTAACTTTTCTTTAAAGGACACAAACAACGCTTCACATACTTCAGTGGTGCAGGTAGAATTGTCTGGTAGTTGTAGTGTTGTTGCTGTTGGCTCAGGATCTGCAGCTGCAAAAACAGTTGCTGCTGTTGTAGCAGACGAGCATAGTTGGAGTCCATCTGTGGCTCATTTTTCTCACCTTTCTGATCAGGTGGAATATATTGATGATACTTCAGTTTTTTCACTCTTGGCTTCGGTTCTTTACATTTTTTGCTCCGATGCTTATCATTTGGGTTCTTTGGATGGCTTTGCTGTTTATGGATGGGAAAGAGTGAAACAACTGTAACAGACATCTCATTTACAAGAAGTTATGCAAGATACAAAGATAAAGCATATAGGAGCACATTTACTGCAAAGAGTTGCTGAACACAATTATCCCTGCAAGCCTGCTCAAAAGAATCACTTCCCCTCCTTGAAAAGTTAACTTATTCCAGCTGGCTTATACTGTGCACAAGAAGAGGTCATGAAATCACAGTTTGTAGATGTTTTTTTAATACATGGCACAAATGAAGATAAGGGATTCACGGCAAAGAGGCATTCTTCTTAAAACTGTCCTGGTTTCAGCTGGAATAAAGTTAATTTTCTTCCTAGTAGCTGGTACAGTGTTTTGGATTCAGGACGAGAATAACATTGGTAACACACTGACGTTTCAGGTGTTGCTAAGCAGTTTTTATACTAAGTCAAGGACTTTTCAGCTTCTCACATGGCCCTGCCATCGGAGGCTGGGAGTGCACAAGATGCTGGGAGGGGACGCAGCCAGGACAGCTGGGCCAAATGAGTCAAAGGGGTATTCCATACCATATGACATCATGCCCAGTATATAAACTGGGGGGAGCTGGCCAGGGACACTGCGGCACAAGGATTGGCTGGGCATTGGTCAGTGGGTGGTGAGCAATTGTACTGTGCATCACTTCTTTTGTATATTCTACTACTACTACTACTACTACTGTTATTATTAATTACTATTTCCCCCTCCTTTTCTGTCCTATTAAACTGTTTATCTCAACCCACAAGTTTTACTGTTTTTTTTTTTTTCCGATTCTCTCCCCCGTCCCACTGAGGTGGGGGAGTAAGTGAGCAACTGAGTGGTGCTTAATTGCTGGCTGGGGTTAAACAACGACAAACAAGTGAGTTCAAAGCCACTTAGCACTGTACAAGTAAAAGCTAGTATCTTTAAAGTCCATCTGTAAACACCTGCAGGTCAGAAGTACTTACAGGTCTAGATTAAAAGCATGGACAGACAGTTCTAGAAGTTACAGGATTACTCTTATGAAACTTTCAGCAGTATCCTTATTAGCAATACCTAAACATGTGGAAAAACTCTCTTCCTTTACAAGCTCTTTGAAATTATTTTGAGTAAAAAGTTGAAGGCAGTTACCTAGTCATACAGAAGGTATCAAAGCAGAAATCCTGTGTTGATCCATGCACATTTATTACACAGATTGCCTGTTTTGGGGGATATCTGATTTTGTCATTAAGGTCCTGCATTAAGTAAGCTGGTACAAAGTCCAGTGATTTCACTGGACGTAGCCAAATTTCTACTAGAAATTGACTATTAGAAGTCATCCTTGTAAACTGAACTGAGAATTAATGTCATGCAGTTATGTAGAAGTCTACATATATATATTCATTACGGAGCTGAAGACCTTTAGCAAAATTGCTGAAATGAAATATTACAGACATCTTCTAACACAACCCCCTCTCTAATTGTATTTGAAAAAGTTCTCCATGCTGCTGGCTAGGTGAGTGCAGAAAGGGACTGAATATGTTCTTCTGATATTCTAATACAAGGATACTGTAACTTCTCATGCAGTGCGTTTTGCTTATACAGTAAATGAACTAAGAAAATAGTTGCAGAAAAGGAGCAATGCTGTTCACCATTTTGATTATAGGTAGATTATGAATGCAGTTACCTCTGTTCCTATTAAATTACTCTCCACACAAAACCAGATTAGAAAAGATTAATTTCACCAGTAGAAAGCAGAAACTCAATACTGCAAAAATCTGTTGTCCTTATTTCTTAAAAACTTCCATAGCAATGTAATGGATAATTCGGCTTGAAAACTTTTGTCAACTGTACTGTAAGGACCTCTTGAGATAATGAGCCAGTCCCTACAAGTGTTAATGGTTGATCTTAGCATATACAAGCTTTCAGTCAACAACCCAGTATGTTCTTCTGGATACTAATAAAAGTCTTGATTAGTTATAGACACTAACATTACTCATGTATTTTTTCATTAAATATAGCATTGGACAAGGACAAAGATTAAGAACATAGTTGTCAGATGCCATTATTACAGATACGTACCTTTACTAACGTTGGCCCAGGCTTTGCTGCAGATACAGTATTTGTGGTCAGGGTAGTTGTAGCAGTAGAACGTGTAACGTGCTGTTCGATTGTAGAGGGAGTTTTGAGAAATTCAGGAACTGGAGAGGTTAAAGGTGGATACTAGTATTAAAAAAATATAAGGAAAAAGAAAAACATTAAAAACATCCACCATCTGAATAATTGAAAAAATGTGAAAAGGTTAAGACAATTTACTATCATGTCAAATTTGCAAAATATTTTAGGAGGAATGGTGAAAACAGGACTCTTTCATGTACATGTCTACAAGTATTCTATAAAGGCACATTTTGGCACACGTCAGATATAGTAAGTAAGATAAACTTGTTTCTTTCCTTGACTTCTTAGTTTGCATTTTAACTACTGCATGTAAATGTATCCAAAATCTGTTTTTACTAATACTGGATTTACTTCTAGTTTCACCAAAGCAAAACTAATTGATTTTAATATCAATTTTTGTAGCATATAATAATAAATACTTTTCCAACATTAACATTTTTCTTAACTACTGTTGTGGGTTTCTGCAGGTAAAAAGAATGATGACCAAAAAGGATTTATAACAACGTAAAAAAAAGCCCTCAGGAAGGGCTTTGTTTTCATAACCTTTACACTGTTGTTTTAATTGGCAGAATTCTCTTCTCCTTCTAACATACATGAAAACAAATAAATACAATGAGAATGTCGTCTTTCTGGTTTCTTACAAAATCATAAAAAAGAGCTGGAAGGACCTTCAGAAGTAACCTCACCCATTCAAGTCAGAAACACTGTACTTCCAATTGGTTCTAACATGTATTTGTCTATGCTTAGTAGCCCAGAATCAGATTAACTAATTGATGTCAGTTTCTAACTTAAAAATTGCAAAATTCTTCCAGCACTGACAGCTGTCATTCAAGTACCTTTGCTCTGGCATAAGGATACAAAAGAAATCTTTTCTTCAAGGTAGTCAGTCAGAATTACAGGAAACTGTTACGTCAAATAAATTTATTCTCGTTAGCGTTACCAGTTTTCATATATGAAGGCTTCTAGAACCAAAGAATTACAGATTTTAAGAATATAACCAATTTCTGTGTTGTAATATGCAACAAAGTACAGAAAAACAGTTCAAACAAATTTTTATTAAAATGAGAGATAAGGGTTAATAATAATTCAAGGAAGAATGAAATGCATTGTTAGTAACTGCTGGCAGAGATACCACCATTTGTTACTACTCTGCTCGAAGCAACATCAAAATTGGGCCATAGACACACTACATATATACTGAAGCAGCCTACTGAAGTTACAGAAAACACTGCTTTACTAGAGAATTGAGACCTCCAGTATTTTCTGTCTGTGAAGTCAAAATCTTGTGTACACAAGGATAATCTTACCACCCAAACTAGTGCTGTTAGAAAAACCTCTTTTTGTGAAGGTCAGACATCAACACAGGAAAATGAATGTCTTGTTTCAGAATGATCACGCAGCAGCAGAGCGGATGTGTTTTGAAGAGACATCTTCCTGTAGTATTTTCATGGCAACCACACCTCTGACTGTGCCAGGAGGTGCCTTTCTTCTGTATTTGACTGCCAGCACAAGGATAATACTGTATAGGTATAATCCAGCAGCCTGAACTTTACTGAGTGTTCCCTTGCTGTTACAAACATCTTGTGTGTAATTTCTTCTATAAACTTACTGAACTCCATACAGCCTTAGGACTTTTTTATTATTCTTTTCCTGGCACCATTGTGCCTACCATCAAATTCCCAGAAGTTTTCTTACATAATAACCAGACCACTGAGCTTAACTTTGTCATATCAATTTTTTTCTGTGCTGAAATTATTTTCTGATTTAAAACCTATTTCCTTCTGCAGTGAATATCCCTCTGATGGGATATAGACTGTACATAATCAGGTCTCAGCCTCTGTTTTTCTAGCTACACAAATGATTTTTTTTGTTCTTTTATCATAAAAGGGGTTTTTCATTCTCTGATCATCCTTTCCTGTTTGTGTTACAGTTTTCATTAGTCTTTCTTGCATATAAGTAACTGGAAATGCACAGGAAATTCTGCATGGGGTCTCACTGGATCCTTACAGTGGCATTAACACTTCTACTGGCGTTATCTCTTCTGACATACTTGCAGTTTTACAGAAGTACACAGTAGCTCAGTCACTTCACTGCTGACCTCTGCACCCCAACCGTCTTCCTCCTCAGTTTTCTTCTGGGTGAGTCCCCAGCTTTCCAAATTTCTTTTTCATGGGAAGGAGAGGTGGTGTGTATTTTGCTTTTTAAGAACTATTCCATTGTACTGGCATTCCATTTCTCTCCTAAAAGCCAAATCAACCAGATCTTTCTGCATAATAACAATCCCAACTCTGTGCTGCCTATGCCTTCCAACTTTTGTTACATGATGCATTCTTATGTCAAGGTTGTTAATGGTATCATGAAACCAGAATGTCCCCAAATCAACTCCTGCAGATCTCTATTACCAGCTTCCTTTCAATCCAATAGTTCCCTCTTTCTGTCTCTTCTCTGCTAATCTCCATCTTCTCCAGTTTTGCTAGTGTTTAATATCATATAGTATTAAATCCAAACAGAAGAGATCAGTTGCATTTCCATTAAGAAAGCGATTAGATCACCTAGTACAATATTCCTTTTATAAAATCCATCCATTTCCCTTACATTCCTACCAGTAACTATCCTTTCTTCAGAATACGTTCTAAAACCTTGCATTCTAAGTCGGACAGGTACTTCTCACCAATTCATTTCTTCCTGTGCTCTGCTATTCTCCCATGAGATTGTACCACAAAGGACTTAAATCAGTTTGCTAAAAAGACTCGGTACACAATTTGCAACTTTATGTCTTGGTTCTTTTGTATTTCTGGAGTGGCAATTATCAAGTATCTGGTCTGCATACACTAAGGTCTCTGACTTTTGCCTACAATTAAACGATAATAATTTTGCCTTCTATCTCTGCATTTCTTTTTCACATTTTGCTGTGTCTCCAGCTGCCAGCTGCCAACAGGCAGTTATAGCTAGCTTGCTGTAACCTATCTGAACTGTACAGTGGTTTTGATCCTTCTGTAGTGCAGCCATCCAGAGGAGAAGCTCCTGATACTGCTTTACTAAATTGGAAGATATAGTATGCCATGCCTAGTCACTGAAACATTGTGCCCATGCCTGACTTGAGGTTGTGTCAGTTTATGGTGGCAGGCTAAAGATGTAAATGCCTCTATTTTTAATATTCAACTTTCAAAGTGCTCTGGAAAGCATCTGATATCTACACAGTATCTGTTATTTGCTGGACTTGCCTAAGAATTGGCAGGGGACTTCAGAGGGACTTACCCTTTAAAAAAGGGTTCTGGACACTGTATTCTAACGTACTGCACTCCTGTTGCTATCAAATTTAAAAGGCTTATTCTAGTCATAGCAGTAACATTCAAAAAAAAAGCAATTTGTCTTTGAATCAAAGTATCATGTACAGGATTACCAGAAAAAACAGGAGAATTCTAACAATCTCACGATTTTCACTGGTTTTTAAGCTTTCTTTTCCTCAAGTCCAATCTAAAAAGCATTTTAAGTGTTTGGTACTTCAGTTTATTTGTTACATAATCTTTTACCATTCATCATTCTGATCCTTCTCAGACCCAGACAAATAAATTGACTTTAAACATAGTATTTAGCAACATTTATAGGCTATGAAAACAACTCCATAATGACAGCACAACAAAATTCTTTAAAATTGAAAAGTGAGTTATTTAAAAAACAAAACCCCACATCCCCACAACCAAAAAACCTCCCACCTTTTTAATTCATATTGCTTGAAAATCATGGTGTTAAGCATTCTCCTCCTGCCATAGACTAAATTACTTTTTCCTCACATTAGTTGTTATCCTAAACTGCAAAGGATTAATGGCTACATGAAATACAAAGCTTTTTACAGAGTTCCCAATTTTACCTGTAAGTGTTAGGTGAGGCAATGAACTGTGCATATCATTTACTTGATAAATTTTTAAATTCAAAAAACTGAATTATCAGGTCTCAACTTCTTAACTTGATTACTTCATAAAGTAACGTAAAGATTATTTCCTTTGAACAGATCTTCCATTTACAGATAATATTTATGGAGCTTTTCTTCTAACTGCAACCAACCATCAAGCAGGTCAACAAGCTACAGTGAATATATTAAGAAAAGTCACGCTACTCTGTGTCATCAAGCAAAATATGTCAGCTGTTTTGAAGATAACTGTTTATTGTCTTCAGAATTGTGACCACCACAATTTGATCTGTTTATAGTGGTGTAGTTAACATGCCTAATCCTTACCAGATGCAAATACATCAGGTTGAAGTAAGTTTTAGGTCATCAGTCAAGAAGAACTGAAGGTTCTCAAAGTTATGTTACATCCTGTGAGGCCTGGAAACGTGTGGAGGAGGAAGCCTTGAAAAGAACTCTGGCTGCACTCCACTGTTTTCAAAACATTCTTTGTATTTTATGTTGTAATAAAATGTAAAATTTGTCAGAGGCAATTAAAAGAATGAAGGAGCAATTTCCCAGACACATCTCCTGTAGAGACGTGCTGTGCTGTTGTTCTTAATTTCAAGACGAACAAGGTAAGCATCTGGTTTATTCTGCAGAAGAGCAACTTTGCATTTTAGATCTGTGCACAGAAGCGGCTGTAACGTGAAATCCATAAGCAAAGGATTGAAGTGCTATCTGAAGTGCTTTTTCATCAAGTTTGAGTGCTCTCTTATTTTGTTGCTGCAATCACTTATCCATCTTATGCTTCCTACTTGAAAAGCTTCTGGCATGTATTGCTTTGAGTGTTTGTATTTAACTCTCCATTAGGAACCTAAGTCTTTACTTAGGAATCTAATTTCATGTGGTTTGGTTTCAATTTATTCAACACAAATTACACTCTCTTGAGATGACACCCAATTTATATCTTAATCTGTATGTTAAAGAACAATGAAATAAAACTGATGTGCTGTACTTCGTGCCCAGAATTGGTTTTGAATATGAACTTTTCAATAGTTTTTCTATCTACTACAGTAGTAAGAAAACCAAGGAGAGTAATTCCAGATCTGGAACTACTGAGTTGGTAGGTATCCATGGTCATTAAATATGTAAATAAATTCATTTTCTAAAAGAATGCTTAATAAAAAGACAAGCATGAAAATATTCTGAACTACAAAGTTATGCATCTTTATCTCCTTTGTGTAGTGGAAAAAGTGATGACAGAACACTCTTAGGAAGTACTCCTGAAAAAAGATCCAGTGCAGATTACAGTTGATCAACATTAACCTGAAGAGTATTATAGATTAATAGCAGTACCATTCACATATTGGTCAAATTTTGATACACTCTTAAATTATTTCAAAATAAAGTATTTTAATGTTTGTGTTATACAGGCTAAAACCACGTGTTTACCAGGTACAGACTTACATGAAATGCAACAAGTCCTAAAGCTTTTGAATTTTCATCAAATTCACACTTTCTGCTTAAGGAATACTGCTCAAATTAATACAAAACATTTCAGCTAATTAAACAAAAATTACAACATTACCAAAATTTCTGTGTTTGCTTATGCACGTGTGGTATATTGATACCAAGTACACAAAGCTGAATGCAATATTATTAAACTGATGTAATTTATAAGTCACTTCATATATATGAATACTGTAATGAATATCCAACTCTTTGAACTAAACAATTGAAGTGTAAACATGGATAGTAGGGTAAAATGTAATCTGAAACTATTTTTCTGTGATAATATAGCTCCTTTCATTTATGTACAACAGGAAAATGGGCTTACTGGGAGAAACAGTAGTTCAGGATCAAGGACTTTTTTCTAGAATACATGATTAGCTCAGCAGACGTGTGTAACTGATTCAATGACTAATTCAGCATTGATACTAAGGCAAAATTGTTGTTACTCTTAATTTCAACACATAAACAGATCTTGTTTAATCTGGTTAAACAATCCGGTTAATCTGTTAAATCTGGCTAGTTTGGAGTTTGCTGACTATTCAAGCTAGTTGCCATCAGACAACATATGACGACTTTGCTTGCCTCTCCTTCCACTGGAGCCTTCATTCGGGTCTCTTTCTTTATCCAGAGAAAAAGTTCCATGAAAGCTGCATAAATCCAGTTAAAAGCAAAGCCTTCTCTCAACTGGGATGAAGTTACTCAATTTATAATTACTATCTGAGGTATGAAAGAAAACATCATGAACAAACAGTCAAGTGTTTTCATTCAAATCCACTGTTCTTTAAATCCTCACACATTTAAATACTGTAACGACAACATTTTATTTGCTATGGCAGACTCAGTTACTTTCCTTTCTTTGTAACTTGAGAAAATACTAAAAACCTCACGGAAAAAATCAACACACAGGTTATTTTCATGTCTTAAATAGTAAATTCCTTAAGCAGTGTGTTACAACTATAGGAGAGAACATTTAAATTATGTGGGAAACCTTCTTTTTTATGGACTTTTCTGGAGATAATGGAACTGACGTCAACTGTTGTTTCAGCTAAATTTAATTCTAAACGAGTTCAAGACCTTGCCCAGAATGAAGACAGACATTAAGTAATCAATAACAGCTGCAGTAAACCATGGATATGACCTTTTAAACAACTTCTGGGAAAGCTGTAAATCTTCTATGGGCCATAATGAATTTCAGTGAATTTATGGCTTTACTACAGTCTATGGGAATTTCATCATTGCCAACAGCCAAGCCAGGATTCCAGTCTATACACTCCCAAACAGAAAATGGATTCCCAGACACTCCTTTGCAACAGCAAATGTATTAATTCCATGTGAAACTATGCCCCGTTTCTGTAGTGCCAGACCAAAAACCATACTGTTTCAACATGTAAAAACTGTACCTGTGTTGATGTAGTAGCATTTGGTGTTACTGGTGATGGTGAGTCACTTGTCTTTGGCTCACCAGGGGAAGCTGCTGAACCCTGGGATTCTTGGCTGGCTGGCTGATCTGGTGATAAAGCATCACTGCTGTCTTCATCAAATGAATAATCATCCAAAGCTTGAGGATAATTCTCTTGTCCAACTGCTAGAATGTTTACAAAGAAACAAGCAAAATAATTTTTTTTTTTTAGTTACACAGATTAAATTTAGATATTGGTGGCAGAATTAGCTAATTGCTGTAAAAGGATGTTTTCAGCACAGTCTAAACATAGTACTTAAGTATTTATTGTGTTTTTAATATAATGACAGCCATATTAAATCATATTCAGGGAATCAATAAAACTAACTGCATAGCAGAAGTTGTTTTAATATGAGATTAAAAAGTATTTTCAACGTATGTGGAGTGTACACAGACACCTAAGACAGACTGAGTAATGGCCACATATGTTTGACTATTTTGTAATAATTTTTATTAAGAAACAACTCTTTTCAAATACAGTATTATACTCCAACTATATAATTCTAACTTAGTTTTAAATAAAAATAGGATAATTTTAATTAAATGATCAGAGTTTAGGACTCAGAGGCTGAGAGAATAGGTAATAATAAACTGACTATGTTTTCTTCTAGTGAACTTTACCCTCAAGAGTTAAATTATTTTTCACAATGCCATATAGACAACAGATAGAAGCTGTGGGTTTTCTACTTGCCTATAATAGCTTCTTTAACACTGGAGTCTACAGGAAGGATATTTTTTTCTACCAGTTCCATAGGGCCAGGCCTCTGAGCAATCTTTTCATTTAGATCATCTGCCAACCGAGCTCTCTTCAGTTTCATCTGGGTGGCTTGTAGCGAAGGCTCTGCAAAGGTCTCTAAAAAGATATACTGATTTAAATATTCTATTGCATCTTTTCTCCAATTTAATGACAAACAACGTCTTGTCTTCACAATAATCATTCCACTTTTATCAAAAGCACGCAAATATTATTCTGAAAATTCTCAAATTAATAAGCAAAAATAAGATTATATGAGCAGATGTTCCTCTCCATTATCATGTTTTTCTATAAATACAACCTTTTTTAATAGCATTAATACTTTTGGCAAACATTTGTATAATGTCCAACAATAAAGCAGGGAATATAAAATAACAAACACTAATAATGTGAGCACAGCATCTGCTGCCCTAACAGTTTACCAGTGTGAGCTATGGTAAAGGTTTAATTAATCCATTAACTTTTAGATTCTTTTTTGACAAACATCTTAATAAGTTTACTTTTAGAAATAGCCTCTAGCACAAATTTGAGTCTTCAAAATTGCATTTCGATGAAGATATGGAGATAGTCTGTCAATATGGATGTGATCTATCAATATGGGGAACTCCTATCTGGGTTCAGTATCCAAATACATGTTTTGAAAACTAATGGCTGTTAAATTGACTTGAATCATGTTATTTGGTAGTTTCACTCTTTGGTAAGATTATGGTGAAACACAGAAATACAGCCCCTTTCATAAAAAGACTATTGTTTCAAATGACCCGAGCAACAAGGAAAATAACAAGGCAGGGTGAAAGTCAAGTTCATTAAAGATTGCTTGGGGTGGTGGTGGAAAAGTACAAGGCTGTCAGGTTATTTTAGGGTATGAGTAGAAATTGAAGCAATATATATGCTACATGTACATATACCACGGTATAATTACCAATATAGAACAGAAAGAGTATGCAATTATGAACTAATACACAGTTAGGCATACTTTCACTGCCACAGATGTATCTATTATTATATGAATTTAGAATGGAGATTATAACAGTCACTGTAGAAGCAGAGAAATAGAGCATATAAACCTTTAGAAAATAATTCATATCAAAGCCTAATTCAGTTAGAAAATTGAGCGCATAACAGAAGTTCCTTCTAATAGCAGTTCAAAAGGTACATACCTTCTAGGATATGCATTCTGACCAGCTCAGACCGGTCTGGCCTGCTGCGAATCTTGTGCTTCAAAAAATTTTCAGTCTTTAAAGAAATGAAGAAATATCATTAACTACTGTTTACTAGGAAAATCAAAGTAGTTTGATAAATCACTGATGTCCAATCAATGCGTATTTGCAGTTTCATTCAGATAGGTGGACACTGCTGTTAGAACGTGGGCAGTAGAGGGGTTTGTTTTGTTTTGTTCAGTTTTTCTATCAGTTAAGCAGTGCTAGTGAATTTCTGTCTTCCCCAAACAAGTTATGAATGTTTCTGGACTTGATCCCATACCATCACACAAAATTGCAATAGCACAGATTTGCTACAGAAATACCACACAAGCATAATTTACCCAAGTACCCTATCCTTAACTGGAGGTGGCAATGCATTACATGATGATCAGAAGTTTATCCCCTCACCTTGATCTGTGAAGGATTAAGAAAATTCCTCTCAGATCTGACACCAATATTTTATTTTAATTAATTCTTCCAAGATGAAAGCACATGTTATTAATTGTAATAATTTTTTCATGTACTCAAGAGAGTTTAGTATCACATACAACGGACCATCCATTTTTAGATGTTGATAACAAGTTTACACAAAGTGGTTTACCCTGGCTCGCTCCAGGCTCTTTATCTGCTCATGGAATGCAGCTGGACTTTTCAAAGCTGTGAAGGGAGAGTAAGAGTTAAATTGACAGGCAGTGATTTCCAAAAGAAATATTCTAATCAGTATGTGTGTATGGGTGTTTAACACCATCTCAGAGTTGTGTTTGCATCTGATCAGGATTACATTTGACTCATGCTAGTTGTATTCACTTATATTTAGCAGAGATGAGCAACAGTCCTATACAGAATACTTGGAATACTTGATTTTAACAGATATTACCATATAACAATTAACTTTTTCACTATGTACACTGGGGACTATTTACCAAGACTGTTCCACAGTAAAAATTTTATGAGGTAAGGTTCAGAACACCAAAATACTGTTTCATTTATTCCACTGTATTTACGATCTGTCTATACATTATACTTGCTGGTACTAGAGAGAACTGGACCATTCCTTAACAACTATTTGTGCTGACATTAAAAAAAAAAAAATTGTAGAAGCCCTGAATATTCAGATTAGAAAACAGAATGATGGTTACCTGCTAAATAGCCAAAAAGAGTAAAAACCACTACTCAGCTAAAATTTACATGAATTGTGGAGCACTTCATCTTGATTGGATTGTTGAAAGGAAGTGAAATGGCAGCAGGCATAATCCATTTTATTTGCCACACTTTTGACAGAGATAAGATACTGCAAAACAAAATCTTCAACACTTTTTGACAGTTTAGAAGTTCTTTTACAGGTTTCACTGAAAAAGAAACAGATCATTCCCTTCCTGAAGATAAGCAATGCTACAGACCTGGGAAGCTGAAGATGCTTTAGCAAAACAATCTGAAGTCTGCTGCATACTCAGAAACCTTCAAGAAGAGATTAGCTTTAAGATACTGTGCTTTCAGGCTAGAATTCACCAGTGCACACTGGGCTATTTATAATAACTTGACATAACTTTAGTATGTTTTCAATGGCTGGAGTTTCTATTTGTTTGTTTTAAGAAAAATCACTTTTCACAGTTGCATCTTTTGACAACTTGGACCTATTATCTTGAGCCCAGTCTCATTCACTGTTCACAAGTGCACACAATTCTCCATGTTTTCTGTACACCCCTCATTCTGAGGCTGATCTCCAAGACAAGTCAGCAGATGTTATACTAAACTAAAAATTAGCACAGTCATTGGGAGCCAAACTGAAGGAACACAGAAACATCTCTAAGGAAAGAGTTAACTGCAGTTGAATTCTAGGCCACTAAATATCCAGATTCAGGAGAACCCTCTTGTGATGCCTAAATTGATGTGCTGCTGCTGAAACCACCATCATCTCTAACAGACTGAAATCAGTAAAGGAGAAAATGGACTCTGGCAATGAAGTGCAATTGCATAAAGCATGCCAATTACTTTCAAAATACAAGTGCTGTGAGTTCAGACATATAAATGTAACAAATATCCAAATTTACAAACATTATTTGCTTGTCAAAGCAGTATGATCTGCATTTAAATTCCAGTGGTAGAGCAGAGTTAGATAAAAATTGTTTACTGAAGAACTGGTAACTTCTTGCATAGCTGTCAAGGATGGTAGGTAGGTAGGCCGAAGAGTCAGAAGCTCAGCATTACACAGTCCTGAAAACATAAATACATCTCCAACTGTATTGATGACCTTGGTGATGTTGCTGTCGTAGCGAGTCACTTCACACTAAGGTGACCAGGAGCATCTTAACTCTTCCAAAGACAGCATCTAAAGGCATTAATTCATTTTTTACCACTATCTAATCTTTGTTTTGGAGAAAAATACAAAACCCTTACACCAATTTGGAAAGTTTTCCATATATGGCAAGTTGATCAGGAACTTCCGACAATTGGAAAAAAATGTTCTAAATCCAAAACAATTTTCTAATAAAAAAAAAAAAAAAAAAAAATCCAAACCAAACAAAAAACTGAAGCATCTTCCCATATTATTGGAAAGGTATACTCAGAAAGAAGGGCCTAGGCACAGAAGCTTCTTCATTAGGTCAAACAATCCAGTGTACAACACCCAGTCTAATCCACTGCCTCATGTCCTGTAACATCACAGCTACTATCATGCAAGATTTGACACAAGATACATCTGCTGGCACATAAGTCACAACTTCTATATGTCCTTTGGGTTTTGTTTGGCAGCGCTTCCCATCCTACTCTTTAAAGACTGCTGCCTTTGTTACTGATGTCCACTCATTTATATAATTCAATTTATTTCAGTAAGATTAGTCATAACTTAGAGAAAAAAAAAAAACGAAGAGTCAGACTATGTGTGCATATCCTGGCATTTTCAACACAATGGCTATTTTAACTGAAACACTAGGTAAGCATGATAAATTTATTTCATGCTCATTTAGATTACCAAAAGGATCCCAACAGGTCTTTTCAAATGATAAAGTTATTTTTAATGATTCTCACAGAAATGATTATCTTAATTATTTTATATACTCTGTTCATAATTAATACAGTATAGCAATAACAATTACTAGAAATAACATAAATCTTACGTGGCATGATGCCCTGGTCCACCAGCTGCTCTCGTGTCCGTCTCTGTTGTAGCCTCAGCTGAAGTACTGACAAAAGAAAACAATCATTTATTTAAATGTAAGCATACTATCCCTTTGAAAGTACAAAAATACCATTCAGAATATACCAAGTATTTCAACTTTAGAAATATTTTTTCTGTATGTATTCAGACCTGACAGTAACCTCTCAGTCACCTATCAATAAGGATCAACTGCTATTAACATAGTTTGGAGTGACTACTGCTTCCAATCCCTAGTTATATTTGAGTTTGCTGCTTTTTGGTCACATCTGATAAAGGGACTGTATTTCATACATACATCCGCTTTTCCGATCAACTAGGTTTTGTAAGAAGTATTAAGTATATATCTAAATCTAGGATATTTTACCCCCCTTTTAACACTACTCTTAGATAACAGTTTCGAAAAAGCACAGTGAGGTGCAAAGAGTTTATACCATAAAGTGCAATACATAATGATTATAGTCTTCTTACATGTCTGAAACCAATCTTACATGACTGCAGGCACTGTGCTGAAATAGAAATTATGTTTGCAGAGCATTGTAAAAGAAAAGCTGTATGTGTTTGTTTGGTTGTTTTACCTTAAGGAATTTTTTTTAACTATAAAGGCTTATTGTACATTTAAATAAATCTTGCTGAAACACAAGGAAATGAAGCCAGATATTACCTGGCTTACTTAAAAACATCAAAAAAATGATATAATCAGGAACAGATTTTGTCCACTCTCAAACATCAGAAAATGCTGTTTTCCTGATTAACTATGTGTTATCATAATTATTTCAAGGACCAAATAAATCCAATACTGTCAAATTTGGAAAAGCTGTTTAAAGTTTCAGAGGTAACTTAATATGTTTCAATACATTTAATAAAATGTACCAGGTTCTCATTGTTACTGTAAAAATAACCACACACATTAAATAATAATGTGACACACATTAAATACTATACCAGGAACTGCACAAAACCTGTGGGAGGGTACAGACATAAAGGCCTTGTATTTTCAAAGATTAGAACTTTTTAAAAAAATGTTCCCAGAAAAAATAAGAAAAAAGAAGTAGTAGTTGTTTGTTTCTTCTTTTGTTCCCTTCCCCTTGTTTCTGTATCAATTTATAATAGTGCTTCATTATTTCTTAGAAACATATAACCATTACTCATGTGAAATTTCAGCTTTCAAAGATGTTTGGTCAAGAAAAAAATATATTAAAGATGTAATATTTACATTCTTAAATTCTGCCTTGATAGCTTATTATGGATGTATGATTATGACATGCTGTTCCCATTGTATTTCACAAGGAAGCAAAACAAACTAATGCATTGTCCGAAACATCAAAATGAACATAATTTCTAAAAAATTAAGCTAAGGACAAGGTTCATTGTTTTTAGATTTTAAAAGGAACCAGCTTATTTCCTGTTCTACAGTACAGGAAGGATACTCTTCTGGCTGAAGCATTAAGACTGGGAATAGCAAGTCCTGAAAACAAGAACATTATTTTCTTGTATCACACAAACATTGAGAATTTAAATACAGACATCTCAGGGCTGTGGCATGGCAGTTCTGTTCAGACTTTACAATGTTACATGAGAACTACAAAGGACAGAGATGGGAGCATGCAGAAGTAACAACAGTAAAATGTAAATTGATGGAGAGTCATTCAAGATGTATTGAATTCCTCTGGAAACTTGAAAATACCTGCTCTAAGTAATTAGTTGTATTAGTATAAACTGTGTAAAGTTAACTGAAGACTAATTTTATAATAGTTTGAATGATTTATTTTTGGTCTTCCTTAATTTCATGGGGCTCCACATAAGCTGCAACCTCTTCTTACAATATCTCTTATTATTAGATGCAAGCTTGTGCTGCCTGAACTCTTGAACCAACTTCAGTGGTGCTGTTACACACTCCTTCCAGCAGCCCATCCTAGGCTGGGTTTGGTGTATGGTGTAGCATAGATAGCTACATACTCCCAGGAAGTTCAGAGCATGGGTAGAGGAAGTTCAAATCTTTCTGCAGAAAACCACATGGGTTTCCAAGTCCAACTGGTCTAATCTGCCCCCAAAAATGCAGATGATTGTGTGCAAACACACATGTATGCAGCTGTACATCCAACTTTAAAAATACACAAGCTTTATACAAGTGTGAATTAAGAATAATGTATTGGGTCAGGACTTAGCCCATTCCTACAGAAAACTGAAAAGCACATTTAAATGGAAATGCATTTTAAGCATATGATATAATGTTATGATGTTAAGCTTCTATCCCTGGGGCTACTTCTAAGAATTTCCTACTGCACTAGCAGAAAGCACTTGGAAATGCACTAATTGGTGTGGTGTTTACAAGAAAACAAAAAACTCTGATATGTTCTTTTTTGGATTCATTTGCTTACAACTGTAAAATCAAGAAAGTTCACAGTCTTAAAACTGAACAGGCAAAAACTGAACAGGCAATACCTTTCAAAATCTTAAACAAGTTTTATCCATCCAAATTGTGTGAGACACAATTTATAAACATGGCAAGACTGTATTTTAGACCCACTATTTTTGGTCTTCAGTAGATTCAAACTTGACTTTCTTCTGTTCTTTGCTCAAACTATGCTTCCTTTTACACAACTAGGAAGCTGTGGAAAGGATTGAAAAACATGCCCTGCTCTGGGCAGGAATCTCATCTGGGCTATGCAGCTGTATTTGGTTCAAATATACACCATGCTCAAATTTGGCTTTTTTGGAAGACTAAACACAATACAAATGTGACTACCAAGTCTTTTACCTGGTTACAAGTCAGTTTTAAACATATGCCTCTCTATTTCAGGCTCAAGGTCTTCAAGAAAATTACCTGCTCCAACACCAGTTATGTCCAGTGTAGAGCTCGTATGTGTCATCAGACACAGTAAGTAAATCAGAATTAGTGTTTTTTTCAATTCCATCACCTGGAATACAGTGGATCGACAAGAGAATGCTGGTAATATTACAACAGGTGCAGGAATGTTATCACTGATGTGAGTCATCTACCAACATATGATAGGCATTTGTAGTATGTGGTATTCCTGACTTCTAATATGCTTTTTACTCAGACTTTCTTTTTCACTAAGCTCTGTCATAAACCCCATTTTGTAGTTGTAGCTATTTAATCTATGGCTACCTAAACTTTGCTAGTACAGTGCTTTCAAGTATTAGTAAACAGAAGTGGGAAAGTTAAACAACATTCAAATGGACCTTCACACCACAGAATGGTCACACTGTTTTGCAGAGTTGGTAACAACAGTTTGAAAGCCCTCACTAATTCACCAATTTGGACAGCTACCTAATTTTGTAGGAAGTGCATACACCATCTACTCTATGAAACATATTACAGGCAACAGGTACTTGTCCTACATCTTACCAGACTTATTTAAAATTCTAAAGTAGTATCACTGCAATTTCAAATGTGATGTACAAAGTCTTTGGGCAGAAGAGACTTTTTTTTTAAGAAATTAGCTTAACTGTTAAAATTGCATATAAAGGGGCAGAGTTTTATTAGAAAACTAATTTATTAATTAGAGATCTGGCTTTGTTTATTAATTAGAGATCTGGCTTTCCCAGATCAAAATACTGATATGACTCTCAGACCAAGGCTTTTCATCTTTCATATGAAAGGATCAGACTTCTATTTGACATTCCACTACACCAAGACACACAATGTTCACTGTTAGGTCATACAGCTTGATTGCACAGTCTAAACACATCCCACTAGTTCGGCATTTAGAAATTATTGCATTTTAAGTTTTCACTGGTAAGTCTGTGGGAGGAGAAATCAGAAAGGCCTTACACTGCACTTTGCCAATACAAGTAAGATAAGTAACTACTCCAACACTTCCAATATACATTCCCCTGTATTCCCCTAAAGTATACTTTAAAGAGAGTCTGCCTGAGGTAAATTCAGCTGCTGAAATTTCTCTTGGAAAAAAAACAAACCAACCAACCACCCCACAAAACAAACACACACAAAAAACAGTGTACCAAAGTTTCTGTGTGAAGGTCCTGTTTTGAACCCTCTTTCAATACCACTAGTAACATGGAAGTGTGTGTGTCCCAAGAGGAAGACACTTTGAACACTGTGAACACACAGATACGGACTCGTTGAGTGTGATGCAGTTCCTGCTGCTTCCAGTTTGTGCTATCCAGTAGAACGTGTGTCAAAAAGGGGGAAAGGCTGCCCTGCCTCCCTCTGACATCATGCTTGCACAACACAGCCCTACACCATGTAAGAATCAACACTGTAAAAACATATCCCAGTGGATGTGTTACTTGTATTTGTGTCTGATGTGATTTCTGTCAGTTCCTGAAAATTAATACTGCTTGGCCACGGCCATATTAATAGGTGGTATTTACCCAGGAAACGGGGGAGGGAGATTAAAATAACTCTATCTCTTATTTTCCAACTGATTTCAGCTAATTTTTTAATGAACATCAATTCCAAATGTAGATAATGGGAAGGCTTGCTACATAATTTATGAATGTATTATATCTATGATTTGTGGCTTCAGTTATGGTTAGATATTTAAGTTTGCAAAAAGAATGACCCATATCCTGAACAATGTATAGTCTTATGAGAATATGCAATGGACTATAGCAGAAGGATGAGAAGAACAGTAAGAATGTACCATAACAGTAAGAATGCACATAAACCATATGCACTCAAGTGTGAAGCTTTAGCATTTTTTAGCAAGTATATAACAAATAGCTATTGCCTCTTATAATACTACTTGCCTACCCATTATCCATTAACCTACACTGGGCATCACAAAGCAAAAAAGGAATGATTTTGAAGTTGTTGCATGTGTATCTGTACAAGTCATGAAAACTGTGGAAGACTGAAAAAACGAGAGATACAGAAGATACAGAACATGCAGTTATTCACTTATTAAGTAAATATAAGGAACTTACATATTACATAGTAAAGAAAGGACAGCCTGAGCATGACTAATAGGGAAGCACTGCAGGGAGAATACTAAAGAAGAGATGACTCATAGTTAGAAAAATATTATAAGAACACAG